TCGGTCTCTAATTAACTATTATTAGCGAATATCTTCGGGGTTACACTGCATATTAACTTTTAAGAAAATAATACTTTTTCAGGCAGTATTCAAAATCGGAATATTTTTATCAAATACGCGGTGTTACTCCTATCAATTTTTATTACTCAAACAGTCCATATTTATTTAAATTTTCGAAAAGAATTTTAGACGAATCCGATGATATATATGAACATGGATCTGAGCAACACCGTTTTAAATTTATTGACGATTTTCAAATTTTATTAAAAATGTACTTAAAATACTGTAAAAATTACACATTATTTTATTTTCAAGACACTAACATTTCACAAATCTTTTCAAAAATAAAATAGTTAATTCTATATTAAATTTTTCACATGTTTTGAATAATGCATATGCATTTGAATATAGCATTTATAGCATCTAATATATATTTACTCGCATTCAATTGCTTAATCGCATCCCGAATTTGTTATCGCAAAGCACCTTATATGCAGTTATTTATGTACATTATCTCTTTTAAAGTTTCCCACCAAAAAATCCGGGCTCCTTTTCTGCCAGATAGCGTCATTGTACCCAATCCATTGTCTAAAATTTCCATTTAAAAATTTCGCAATTCGATGATAAGTTACCAAATTAAATTTGGATGTTCTATTTCAGGAATAGTATTCCGAATAAGATGCTTAATATGATTTCTTAATAAATCTAAAAATAGCACTGCTGTCAATACCACACTACACTTTAACCGATGTTCTACGTATGTGTATCAAATTCACACAGTTTATCTTCAGAGCTCCAGCAATGCATATTTTTTCAGTTTTGTAATGTTTGTTGTTGTAAACATCGATTCATGATTAAATTAATCAAATTAAATTGAAATGATTAAATGAAATGATGTTTATTTATAATAAAGAATTAATATAATATCTAAAACTATTGAAATAACCAGATACATACTCAAAAAATATTAGAATTAAGCCAGAAAGCTAAGCAATTTAATTAATTCGTCATTAAAAGGGCTATCCAAAAATGAAAAAATATACAGGGTGTTTGATTTACAAAAATTGAGAGAAGTAACATTTTGCGAAATATCATGATCAAACATATTTCAATTTTGAATATTGCCTAAGAAAAAGTATTATTTTCTAAAACATGTTAAACAGAGAAATGTTTTAAAAACTAATTAAATAACAAAAACATTTCCCACATAACCTGAATCCCGAACGCTAATAACAGTGTATTAGTCCGATACTTAGATATTTACACATATATCGTTTTATTCGTATTTAAAAATGTAATAAAATACATTTAAAAAATTGTAACTTCATTTGACCACCCTGTATGTAATTAAGTGAGAATTGAAATAATATAAAAGAAACAAAGATCGTTTTACTAGAAATAGCTTTTGTTTTCAAACTATTTTCATAATACTCATAGATTTCGAGATAAGATATAAGCTTCTTAAACCGGCCACCCTGTATAGTGTATAATATAGTAAAAAGGTACGTGTTCCAAGAATTGTATTCCCTGGTAATTTGTACTATGATTGTATTGTCCCAGTCATATTCTGTGGTTTCCTTTGGTGGCCTCTAGGGCTAAGAAGCCAAGATGAGTGTTCTTTTAATTTGTAATTAGTTAATCCACTTTGTGAATTAAGATATTGATTTTTATTTAGGACTAGATAAGTTCTTAATATTACATACATTGTCTCCCATTTTAAATAACAAAGTTGGCTTTTTGCCGCTTACGTGACTCAACTCTGCTTTTTCAAGAAATGAAAAAAACAAAAATGTTATAGCTAAGATACGGGTGATTTTGAAAATTTTTCATTTTTGGACACCTTTTGTAGCTCGGTTACGCGTAGACTTATCAAAAAGGTGAAAACTGTTATGGATAGGGTTTTTTACAAGTGGCGTAGTCAATTTTCCTGTGAAACTCACAAATTTTGATATATCAACTAGACTGCTGTTTTTTCAATGGAACACCCTATACATCTTTTATTATTAATCATTTCAAATACAGAGCAAATATCCATAAGTTTGTAGATTTTTATGAGTAACAAATAGAAAATACGTTTTTTTTTTCATAAATTACATAATTTATTTGAAAAAGTTAATATCATGGCAAAATAAACTTATGTGTGTGCAAAATTAAATGCTAATTAACCTTTTCCAATTCTAGGCTAACATGAGTGAAAGCAGCAGAAAGAGATGGCAGAAATTAAATTCTTAATTGTGAAACGTCATACGACTCATAAAAAAATAAAATTAAAACTTTGAATCTGAAATAAATCTTATGTTATTACAAACCTTATAAAATTATGTTAATTATTAATGAAACTTAATTTTAAATTGATAATTAAAATTAAACACTTTGTGTCTATAGCAGAGTGTTAAAAAAAACAAGTTTAAACAGTTGAGTCAAAATTAAAAATAAGTGAAAGCAATAAGTTTAGTCAACAGCAATGTTGTCAGATTTCGCAATGATTTACAGTTACAGTTCTAGTAACCTTTCACTTCTAAAGTTTCCTATATTCAAAAACCTCCAAAATTCTAAGATTTTTTATTAAATTGATATTAATTTGTCAAAATTAATTTTACATGTTGCAGTTTTGGAGATATTCATTATATTACAAAATTTTAGATTATAAAAAGCGATATTGTAGTACCTTGGGTAATTAATAGAAACAAAATTTTCAAATTATGAGACTTTACTCAATTTGACTTGCGCATGTTGAATGTATGAGTGCAGAACGCAATTAATTTGCTTTGTGTTAAAGAAGTCTACATTATCTGATACGAGTGTTTTAGTTATTGTCACATAGATGGGACTACATGTATTGTTTTATAATAATACCTCTCTTTGGCCTACCTGACTAGAAAAAACACGCGGTGGAATGGCTGACCAAGTAGTTTAAGTGTAGAATGAATTTTGTCAGTTTTCTTATACAAAATTCCAATATTGAATACATCATTCTTAAATAAAACGCTTCAGTGTGTGTTATTAAATCCACATAATTTGAGAGCGCAAACAAAAATAAATTGGACTTTCCATTTAAAATAATAATAAAATAATAAAATTATGACGTGTAAAGTAAAAGTGGTAAATCTGTATATTCAAAAAACCGCAGGTATGGAATTTCATCGTTCCAGACTTGGCAGTTTTGGAGATATTTAAACGTGCTCGTACTTTTTACTAACCCGGTACCTATAATGACGCTAAAAAGGATTTGAATTATTGAAAACGGAATCTTAATTATAGGAAACAATATCTTAAAGAATAAAAATCCTTTCGGTGTTCAATTTTACTATACAACAACCACTTTCATTTTGCATTTATGAGTATACGGATGGGGCTTTGTTATGGCAATAGTTTCTCAGAAAATTCTAGATCTTGTTGAATGTTCTGGGAAAACGAGCCATACTCTTGGCAAAGAGTATAAGATAGAGTTGAAGGCTCCCATTAGTGACAATGTTAAAAAGCGTACACGAGTTTCAACGCCCTCTAGTGTGTCCACTCACTCATGAAAATAGAAAACGCGCGGGACGTTAGGTTCAATTCAATTTAAATTTTGAAAGGTAAAATGTAAAAAAAATATATTTCGCAAGGGAGAGGAAGTTGATATAGAAATGTTCAAAGCTTAGACAAAGAGCCAAAATATAATTCTTGTCGTAATTACATGCAGTAGGTAGAAATAAGTGTCTCTATTTGGTAACTTTTAGTTTTCCAATTAGCTGCAATTTCTTACACGATAAACCTCAATAGATTGAAAGTTTAATCTTCACGTCTAAATCTATAGGCAAGATAATTAAAGTGGAGCATGTTATTAACTATTCTGGAAAATTAATAAAGTAATACGTTCCTTGTGTTCGTATTTATTGTTTTTTATTCGGAAAAATTTAACAAATTTACGTTTTCATTAAAAGGCACTAAATCATTAAAGCATTAAAATACAAGGTGTTGCATTTGGCGTAATGTGCATGGGAAACGAATTGTTTTTTTTTTATTCCAGGAAATATTACAGTTATGCTTAGTTGAAATCTATCTAACGAATTGAACGATATTTTTTATGTATTACGAAATATACACTAAATCTTAGTTATAATAGGAGAGCATCATTACGCGGATATAAATAGGTTTGAAACGATACCTACCGCGTCCTCTACGTTCGAAAGGGCGAAAGTAAAACACAGCTCAAAATATTGCCATTAGAGAGCGTCACAGTAACCTGCCGAGATTGACAATTCCATCGAGGAATACGGTGCGTATAGTTTTAAGTTATTTTTTGGTTGCAAATAAAGGTTTGTGAAAGAATCTATAAAGGCACAACAATATAAAATCGTTCGTAAATCAATCAGAGTTGATCTGAAATTATCAACCGCACTATAACGCAGTCCATCTAGAATTAATTAAAAAAAGTTTTACTTTTATGGTAAAGAAAATCACTACCAAACTGCAAATGTTATTTAAATAACTTAATGAGACTATGGACTATGGGAAATGGACCATTCATCACCGAGGTTAGTTTTAAGTTATATTTAAATTTCAATTCTGAACACCTCTGCTTTTAAAATGTTTATCATTTTTAATTATGCTTAGGACACAATTGTTCGGTTCATGTTTTAAGTTCAAAAATGAAAGAGAAACTAAAAAACTCATTGCGAATTTCATACTTACTTACGCACGGAGTTTTTCATAAAATATAAAAGGGACAGTTTCATATGAGGACAATTTTTCTATTTTCAATAATTTCGTGGGTCAATCGGATAACTATAGCAGTTTAGCGACACAGTGCAGCTGGTTGCCATTTGCCGACCACAGTTAAAATTTCTTCAACTACTAAATAAGTCAACTGTAAATAAAGTAAAAGAAAAAGTAGATTTTATATTTGTGAATTAGTAATGGATTAGACTATTTTTTGCGTTTGCACTCCCAGGATTTTGGAAAGTTTAATTTCTGTCCTTGAATCAAAAAACACTAGAAAGGGCATTAAATAAAATGTCACTGAAGTTTTGGTAATTTTTGTACTACCGCACTGTACGAAAACTACATTTTAATATAAAAAAATAATACTTAATCTCTAATTTATTTTTTAAATGGTCCTCATTTAGTACCAAGTATCTCTCGCCTGTGAAATCGCCCCTAGTTTTATGTATCTTGCTGTTTGGGACGCGACAGATGCCACAGTTCCGGCTGAAGCTGGAGAAACAGAAGCTGCCGCTTCTGTTACCACTGGAGCTCCGTCTCCTTTCAAAGCTGTCACTGGTTTCCATGAATTAAGGTAGTTCACTGAAAAAGTAAATAAAATATGATAAAACACAAACAATTAAAAATATGTTACTTTTAAACATTCTAACGCATCCGTCATCACCGCTTGACGCGAGGATTGTGCCAGTAACATTCCAGCATACTCGCCAAACTGTAGAGTTGTGATCATCAAACTGCGCCACAGTCTGAATATCCAATTTTGTACCACCAGTTTGGGCATTTTGTTCATCCCTACAAGAGTTTACTTTGTTTAAGTGCATTTTTGCAAAATCAATTTTTAATAATTATTATTGTAGTCTACATGCAATATATTTTTTTCATGGTCTTTTAGATTGTTGTCCATAATTGCAAAATCCTGTACATAATCGAAAAAATGCCTGAAATGAAAGCTATAACACCGGGTGGTATCCCGCGTTTCCCGGTTCTAAAATTTTGCCGATCGGTTAAATAGTTCTTGAGAAAATCATATTTTTCTGTAAAAAAAATTTTCATAAATTTTTAAAAAATATTTGGCGATACTTGATTACGCTCAAATTTTACTGTTTAGATGTGGGTACGGACTTTACTTCTTTGCCAAATTTAAAGCCGATAGCTACATGATATGACGTTTTTATGACGTATAGCACGGAATAGCCCGAACATCCTGTACAATGTGTGAAAATTTTAAATACTTTTTAGCTGACTATACGAGCTATATAGCCATGTGAAAAAAACTGACAACAGAATCACCGCCTTCTAGTTATGGTCAATTATCATTACAAAGGGACTCCAAGTTCTTTGCAAATTACCGACGCATTCTGTACATTTTTAAAAAATTATCAAGAGTAAAGATTTTTTGTCCGTCGTTTGGTTCACGAATTTTTTCGATCGTACATACCGTTTTTGAGAAATTATTTTTTTTCGAGACCCTGCAAATGCGGTTTTTAAATTTTTAAAAATACCCCCCGCCATTTCAATGGGTTCCGTTAGGGAACTAAACTCTATATTTGCGCCAATTTTGAAACCGATAGCTAAAAATTTCGGACACTTATGGTGTTTCATAGCGATGTACGAAAAACAGAGGAAAATCGCAAAAAAATGATGGACGCCACTCGTGGACCGTTTCAAAGGAGAAAAGTCTCAGCGCACTGGCTTAAGTCGTTCGGAAGTTATTCGCGTTTTTAAGGTGCGTCGACGGAGAACGGGCAGACAAAATAAAAAATATATATTTTCGACGCCGATTATTTGTGTTCCAAATGTTCAAAAACCTCCAAAATTCTGAATGTTTTAGTTTGTTTCCATTACACGTTCTCCAAGAATGGGACTGGTCTAGATTCTACCATACACACAACTTAGAGCATGTCTGGACGATTTTGGTAGATATCTGAATGACCCAGACAAAAAAATCTAGTGAGCTCACATCTGGGGATGAGGCGGCTATTCTAAAACGCCGCGTTTTCTAATCAATCACTCTGAAAACTGACGCTTCAGAAACTGCACGACGCCTCGTGAATAATGGGGGGAGCACCAGAGTTCTTGTAAATTCCTATTTAGTTGCACCACGGTAAGTACTATGCGGTCCCTAATAAGCTCCAAATACTCAATGAAAAAAGGACCAAGATGGTATTACCCAATTATTATCTGGACCATTCGAGCAAAAAGTAACTTCGTCGCTGAGTAAAATTTTCGTGAAAAATACGGATTTCAATTTATATTGTCATGATTTTGACGAATTCGGTATGGCGTTAATTTATTTTTCTTCAAAACTGATCTCTCTGATTGCTAACAAATTTCGGTATTTATAGCTAACCGATTGGTGCTTACTGTCGGATTTTCCTCTATTTGCAATAGGACATCTAATTGTTTTTTTCACTTGTAGCACTTTTTGGCCATCCTGCGCTGGGTAAACTTTTTACCGGTACTGATTATTAAACAAAATAAATAAGAACTAAAAGTTCAGATTTTCACGAAATTATATATTTTACATGACAATTTTTTGGACAACACTGTGTCTTTATCAAATATAATATTTACAAACTAACTGTTACTATATATACCGAAAAAAGAAAAAAAAACTACTAGGTACTACACCTCATTTTTTGAAACATTCTATATAATTTAATTGTATTTTTTAGTAATTTCTTTTTAAGGAATTCATTTAAAGAATTAACATGTGACATGATCTACCTATTTAGGTATCATCTCACCTTTTCCTTTATTTATCATGTCAGTGCCTATTACCAAGAGCAAAAAGAGGAAACAACGTTAAAAAACGGCATGCACCAAAATATCAAGAAAATTATTTATACATTTTCTCAAGGCCTACTAGACCAAAACATCGAAAATTTATTAAACACTCTTTTTTGTGATTTAAACATATTGTGTCATACATCGTTGTATTCGTAATAAAAAATGCTCTTTAATACATGGTATAGTTATTTCATGAACCATATGAAAAATAAAGTTGATGATTTCGGCGAAACAAAAGTGGGGCCTACTTAAAATCACTCAACACTATCTTATAGAGATCAAAAAGTGGCAAGGAGAAAATGACATTTAATTTTTTATATCTTAAAATATTACAAAAAAAAACGAAATCAACAATTTTTGATTTTTTTGGGCTTATCTTCGAAAGTGATGGGAATGTTTTAGATTTTTCAACAACACCTTTAATTTTTTTAATTTAACCACACTGTATATATAATATAATAATTTATACAAAATCACTAGGTGTGAAAGTTTCATCTTTCACCTTTCCTAAGCTAGTATTGATGATTGAAACTTGGTTTCCCTTACAGTCATATACTTATAATTTATTAGTATGTATTTTAAAAAATGGTGCAGTATTGGTCTTTCCAAACACATAAATTTTCACCACTTTTAAAGTTGATCCGTGTTCCAAATTTGGAGAACATTATTTTATTAATTCTCCAGGACACTCAATGCTAGAAGCTTTCGATACTAAAAATTTTGTTTGGTAATCCTAGCGCAACCTCGATTTTAACTAACATCAACCCTAATCATAAGTAAAAATAATACTTACTCCACGGGTGTTAAATTCAATATTCTGACATCTTTGGTAGCTACTCCTAAAATGTGAAAACTCCTTCCCAGATTGGGAGAAAACGCTATATCATGCACGGCATCTGTAATACTACTAACAGATTCTAGTTTTATCCATCTTCTTGAATTTTCGCTGTATTCATAGATAAATACTTTCCCACCTAAAGACGGATTGGCCTCATCACTACCTACAGCTATCATCTGAGGGTGTAACCTTAAAAAGATTGTTATTGCATTTCTATAATCTTTGAAACATTTTTAGTTACTTAGATAAACTGGGATTCCATGAAAGGCAACTTAGTGACAGTTTGCATTGTATTTCATGTTGCAAGGTCCACTGACTCAAATTCATAACATCTGGAGCTTCATAAATCCTTATAATTCCTTCGGCAGAGCATGTTGCCAACTGCAGTCCTTGATTTTTTGGCCCAAACTTAACATCAGTGACAGATGTTCTAGAGTCAACCAAATTTGTTCGTCTGACCCAATGCCTAGTGCCTCTTTTGCCTGGTCCAGGGTCTCCAACTAAAAATATGTATAAATATTAAAGAAAAGTTAAGTGAGGTAAGTTAAAGTTTAACATCACTGTCAGTGAAAATATTTTTTATATATTTTTCAAATGCTGGATCAATGCTCCTTATGCATAATATAGGTTTAAAGCTGCTTTAAGTTAAAAAGAAACCTATTTCTTCCCAAACAGCGGCCGTGCGATCAAACGAACAAGTGGCCAGCACTTGCCCAAATTCCGGATGAGCCCAGGTAACTTTCCAAACAGCCCCGCTGTGCGCTTTCCAGCTGCAAGTTAGCGTCCATTTTCCTTCCTTATTTTGATCCCAAACCTGAAATTAAAATTTCAAAAAACTCTATTCGAAAACCTGCAACTATCTACAATACTTTAACAAAATGATCGGTAGAACATGTGGCCATGCGAGTACCATAATAATCGTAAGCCACATCGTTGATAAGGTCTTTGTGTTCTGCATTAATTTCTTGTGCCTCATACATAATTATATCAAAATGCGAAAGAAAATAAATATCAAAAACTTAAACCAATTTGTGTTTATAAAATTTTTAACCAAAACAAGAACTTTTATAATTTCAGCAGGGATCTTCCTTATTACTGGTTGAACATCTGTGCCACAATCATTTGTCTACCCACCTCTCGTCTAGGGTATTTTCTTCTTTTAATTTTAGAATCTAGTTTGGCCATTCATTCAAGTAAATTTTTTAATATGGTCTTCATGCATTCGTATCCTTTCTCCCTTATCGTTGCGACCGTATTGGGTTGCGTTTTCGTTATTATTTGGTTAATAAGTTAATAAATAAGTAGCATTCGTTTTACAAACTGAATTGTTAAGCTAGGATTAAATCTAAGTGGAAAAATCTAGTTGGAAATTATTTAGTTAAAACTTTGTGCAACTTGTATCCAAGTGTATAAGGTAAAAGATATTTAAAAAGTTTATTTGAGTTACTGCTATTTTCTAGTTCAAAAATTTAACGATGTAAAAAAATCATATACCGTTTCAAATGTGTGTTCTTTGTCAGTTGTTTTTGACAACGTCATCTGGCGACTTATTTTAAACCCACAACCTAGGAAAGTTCATTCATTTCCGTTGTTTTTCAAATTAATTTAAAAAGAAATTGGAGTAATAACCAGTGTTTAATGATAATTTGTTATGGAGAAGTCCGAATTGAGTCCCTTAGATCCGAGCTCGTTTTCACGCCCTGGTAAAAAATTTAAATATTACTATTGCACACAGCCATTGGGCTGGGACCATGATCCTATCACTCTAATATCGATGTTTAGATATTAAAAGGCTAATAAAATCCGTAAATTTCTATAAAAATGTTGATAATTTTTGTAGTAGACCTGTTATATTATTTATTGCTAGTCACTTCCTGTGATTATCACAGATAACAAATCCATTTTCTAAAAATTTTATCCAGCTTTTTAATTACAGAGCTTGCAGTTGTCACAAACATCGCAATAAACTTGAATGTTAATTTTGATAAAAAGATCCTTGCCGGAAGTGTTGAACTAACAGTAAAAAAGGTTTCGGAAGGTGTTACAGAAGTGGTAAGATAAAAATTAATAATATTCCATGTATTTTTCTGGTATAACAAATATAGCAACTTGTATAGGTCTTAGATGCCCTTAAGCTGAATATAGCATCTGTTTACAATGCTGAAACAGATGAAAAACTGAAATATGAGATATCAGATCATGTGCCTGATTATGGATCAAAATTCACCATACAGTTGCCTGAAACAGATAGAGAGATGTAAGATTATTTTTAATCTTTAGAGGAACAACAACATTTTTTTCAATTTTAGATTTAAAATTGGTATACAGTATGAGACAAGACCTGATGCAACTGGTCTTCAGTGGCTTTCACCAAAAGCTACTGCTGGAAAAAAGCATCCATATGTGTTTAGTCAATTTCAGGTAAATCTCTGTGCAGTAAATATAAAAATATGAAAAAATAGACTTTGTAGCTAGTGACCTATGAACAAGGGCACTCGGCTCTATCTTGAAAAGTAATTATTGCAGTGAAAAAACTTATAACTAAAGCGGCTAAGAGAAAATGCTGGAAATTATTCTTAAGTTTCTAAAATGGTCACTTTGGGACGTGACCACATGCTTCTATGTTGAATCCCGTTTTTTAGAAATAATTTTAATACAGATAATTAAAATAAACACCTTTTAAAGTTGGAATCAATCTGATTCTTTTTAGAAATAAATATCCATAACTTCAGAATAGCTGAACGGATTTTATCAAACTGGAAGTTGTTGAAAAGGGCTGTTCCTAGGCCATTAACTCTGCCCTGAGGGGTTTTATTTAAACTGCATGTATCGCTGCAGGAGGGCGTTTTACATCATTTCAAAGAATAATTATGTTCTTCAAAAATTACTACTTATCATATAATATCAGTAAAAGAAGTAAAACCTACCAGTACAGGATCAATCCAAAAGGAGATAATACTTTTGTTTTAATAAGAATAAAATAATAAAAATTATCATACACATGTTAGTTTCAAAAGACATAGAATCATATAGCATCTTATTGATTTATTAAAAAGTACCATTGAAGCAAAATAATATTGAATTTTGATCAAATTGTTAGCGTTTTTTTAATTTTACAACTTTTTTCTCTGAGTGTATAGTCCTCTTCAAGGAAAACCCGAATACCATACTTAGCGATTATATTAAGTTCTCAGAAGGAGGCGATGTCAACGTAAAGCACAATATAAATTTTATTTTATTTTTAAAATTATTTTGGTCAATTGACACAAAAAAAAAGACCGGTCAATTCCGATTAACCAACATTATATTTAAAACATTAACTATAATTCATCATCATTCCCGTATGATTGAATATTGCGATACAATATATTACAATAACAAAAAACCGTAACACAAATAAAACACTAAGATTTTTGCCTTTTAATGCAGAATTCTCCATTGCATAAATTCTAAAAGAAGAAATTGCGTTTTTATTTATTTGAAAATAGACATGAAACATGACAAACACTTTTACTGTGAAGAAGGCTTTTTTTTCCTACCAATGAAGCAACCAAAATACACTATAAATGGCCACGATTTTAACATGAGTGATAAGTAAACACCACCCTTTAATTTTTGATTTGTGTTTTTCAAGGTTAAGCTGCATTTTGAAAATTTAGGATTTAATAATGAATGAATAATGAATGAGTTTTTTTTTCAGAGACGGTTTCACAGGCCACTGAATTCCTATTTACTGGATTCCTATAGCGGGAGTTGTTGATAAATCAAACTTGCTGATGTTTCGTCAATCATCCTGTTGGCTTCTTCAGAGCTTAACTGAAAACTGGTTTTCAGTTTGATTTATCAACATAAAATAAAAGTGATATCGTTGCATTTAAATTTAAAACCGCCATTTAGCTGCGAGGCAAGCTATTGAAATTAATGCGCTCAGACCAGGGTTGATGGTATAAAAAGAGCCCTTTTCAACCCATTTAACCATTCAGAAGTTATTGAGATTTATTTCCAAAAAACACCCAAACCACATTTCCTTAGAAAATAGCGTAAATGCTATTTAACGAAAAAACAATCGAATTAATTCAGGTATCCAATGCCTGTAATATAAGGTAATAAAAAAAATTAAACAAGGTGATTTTGCCACCTGGTGGACATTTTAGAAACTTAAAAATAATTTAGAGCATTTTTTCTTGGCCGGTTTGGTTATAAATTTTATCTAAGTTTGAGGAGTTTTGTACTTTATTTGTAAATTTAACAACACAGCAATTTAAAAAACACATCAAGAGAGGCTCGCGTTGGCTAATGCTTACTACAGCCTGAAAGAATTTTAAATGTATTTATTTATTAACTGGCCTTACCCACTAACTAATTGGCTAAAATAATTCATTCAATTATTCCATTTTAACTCAATTACAAAACGAAAACAGAAGTATCAATATAAATTGCTATAGACTTTATTCAAGAGACTCACACAACTATTAAAACTGACGTAAATAAAATCAAGGTGATTGGAATATGAGTTAGCCATTCCTGCCACACGGTATTCACGACTTAAGTAAATATTCGTGGCCTAAAGAGTCAATAAAATACGATTAGGAATCTGGTATTTCTAGATAAAACAAAGTATCAATGAAGAAAGCAAGATAAAACAAAGCATCAATGAAGAAAGCAATACAATAAATATGACTTGTATAAAGAAGGTTCCAGACTGTTGAGCAGAAATACTTGTGAAGTTTGATGTTGTTCTTTTATTGAAGCCAAGCATACTTAGCGCTCTGGAAACTATTCTATCCATGTGACTGACCAATGATAAAAGTGGAATCGATTACTACTCTAAGATCTCTGACGTTTGTCACCTGAGACAGTAGAGAGCCATTTATGCAATGGCTGAACACAGTTATATTGTGTGTTTTAGTGAAGCATATGGAGTGACACTTTTCTATCTTCTAAGTTTGTCCAGCTCAGATTGAATATTAAGGCATTCATGCTGAGAGCAAATAGTTTAGTTCGATAGCGTCTTAGTTCAACCGCAAAACATAGGGAACATAAAGAAGATTAAAAATATTCAGCAACGTCATTAATAAATATTAAAAACAATAAGGGGCCTAGGTTAGCTGCCTGTTAGAGCGGTTAGGAAAATTTTTGGAACAGAAATTATTTATTTTGACAGTTTGAAATCTATCAGTGAGGGAGGTACTTATGCCTTCATTTCAGAGCATTCAAATTATCTAGGTTTTCTTTTCAAAGTGAATGTTTTTGATTTTATAAAGTGTCGTTCGTTATTTATTTGTTTGTAATGCTTGTAATGCTCATCTTATATTTTTTAAAGTTAGTGCGCACATTGTTTTGTTATACATCGGCCAAGAGAAAATGCTGGAAAAATTATTTATAAAGTTCTGAAATGGCCACCAGAGGGCGTTATTGCCATCTCGAACTTTTAAAACCTGTTTTCTGCAAAATTTTCTTACTTAAATGATATTTAGTTAAAGCTGAAATTAATTCAACAAATTTTTTGTTTGGTACTGTTTACTCTATCTCATACAGTTTTTACTCAAGGTTTTTACTGCGCAGTCCTATTTGAAAAACCATTTTGAATAACTGTGCAGACATACTATTGTTTAATGTTTATCACTTTTCTTTTGCGCACCTGATTGTTTGCAAATATGAATCGGCATTTTTGGACAACTTTATTAAAATATTTGAAAGTGAGCCTTGTTTTTAGCAATCAAAGTGTAAGAAATACCATGACACCATAAAAAAGCAGTCTGGAGCCTCAAGTAGCCAAAAACCTCCTTAATGTTGCTGTAAGCATTATATTAATATAAAAGGGCAACCAATGACAATAACTTTAAGTAACTGCTCGTAAATTCTCAAATCTTTGTGCCAATCTTTAGGTAGGAAAAACCTTTAACTCGGAAAAGAGAGTATTTGCTTCTCTTCATTAGCCATTCTTTCTCCCAGACACTTCTCTTAATATGCTTTTCTTCACTAGTTTTAGTTAATCGATTTTAAGAGACTTGGAGCCGTTAAAAAGGGTTTTTTCTAGGCTATCAAACGTGTTATGAGTGAGATGATTGCGATTGAATATCCTAGCACAGAAAAATATATTTTCTGAAAAAAATTATATACGATATGATTTTTTTATGGATAAGTAGTCAAACAGCGACGCAGTGAAAACCGCATCTCCATAGCTTTATCCTAATCCAACGCAACGCTTATAAATTAATAATTCTATCAGACCATTACGACAACTAAACATTGATAACGATAAAACACGGAACGAAACTCAAAGGACTTTATAAGTGTTCATATTGCCTCCCTTCATTTCCTATCCAGGTGTTAATGCTGCGTCGTGTATTTAATACCGCTGTACTAATTTCAGCCCTTGAAAGGTTCGCTACAGCATCTGGAATACGACCAACCATATTTTCAAGGGTACTAGGACGTGTTTCATAAACAAAATCTTTTATTCTACCCCAGTGGTCAGTGAGGTCTGGAGATCCAAAAGATACTTAGCAAAAGTCAATTCCTTTTGAGTTTTTAATTCGTTTATTCATATTTTAGGTTAGAATAAAGATATTGAAAAGCGGTTTTCACTAGATTTTTGGGCTCTTGTTTGACTAACTAATGAGGTAAACAACAAATATCGTAGCATTTAACTTTTTTGCCTTTATATCAGAAAGCTCCATCTGGTGGCAGGGTACTCAATTGCTATCAGAACACCTTTGATAACCTGAGAAAAATCCTTTTTAATGACTCCAAGTTTCCTTTTAGAGCTTTAAACCAGTGTTCATTCTAAGTGTTATTAATATTAAGAAAATTTTTCAGAAAACGAGTTTTTAAATTGAAAATGACAATAACGCCCTCTGGCGACTATTTCCGTAACTCGTTGCTCTTCGTGGGACACCTGCTATTCAAAGTTGTAATCTATTATATGATTGTGTTCTGACAAAACTTCTTTCTATTGTCATTTTTCCTCCATTTTTTTCTGTTTTAGCCAACTCATGCCAGATCAGTGATACCATGTCAAGACACGCCAGGTGTGAAAACCCCATATACAGCCACAGTAAGTTTTTGAGTTTTTGAAATCACAACTGTTCTAACGAAAAAGTTTCAATTTTGTAGATATCCGCTCCCCAAGAATTTACGGTGTTGATGTCAGCAATTCGAGACGGCACTAAAGAGTTACACGGAGGAAAGCTGTCCCATTTCGTTCAAAAGGTTCCAATCCCTTCGTATTTGATTGCTTTGGCCGTTGGAGTGTTGCAATCCAGGCAAATTGGTCCACGGTCGCATATTTGGTAAGTACTACTTCAAAGCAGACTTGGTAATATTATTTTTTTATTTAGGTCAGAAAAAGAAATTATCGAAGAATGCGCCTATGAATTTTCAGAGACGGAACGGCAGTTAAAAACAGCGGAAGATATATGCGGCGATTATGTTTGGGGCATATACGATTTGCTGGTACTGCCGCCAAGTTTTCCTTACGGGGGCATGGAAAACCCATGTCTAACGTTCGTCACCCCTACTTTATTGGTAATTTAATTGACCAGTCGAACATTGACTATAACAACAAAGGTACATTTTAGGCTGGCGATAAGAGTCTGGCTAACGTGGTAGCTCATGAAATTGCTCATAGCTGGACCGGAAACTTAGTAACCAATCGCAATTTCGAACACTTTTGGTTGAATGAGGGCTTCACCAATTTCATAGAGCGCAAGATTAAAGGCCGACTAGAATCGCCCCAATGCCAGGATTTCGAGGCTTACATTCACGTCAGCGAATTGGAAGAAACGGTATTTTTTTCATTAACGTTTATAATATGTTTTTTGCAGTTTAATTGAACGAATTTAAAATTTTCTTTGTTAACGTGACTCAAAAAAATAATGACCCAAGTTCTATGGTAAAGATGAGCAATATATTAGCGTCAATAATCAATGCTTTACCGTGAATGAGGTGCCAGACCTAATCAGACCAACTAGGTAATAGACAAGCAAAGAGTTTTTTCTAATAAAATTTAGGGATTTCCCAATTATGGGCATAAATAAATAATAATATAACATTATAATAGAAAAGCAAAAATATATCTAGATATTTGCCGACTTCCAATGTTGAGCTACAGTGTACTCTTAATAATGTTGTTAAACTGAATTAAATTTAAGTTAAAAGGATCTATATTACAGTGCTCATTTAAAAAACTCTATAATGAAAATTTATATCAAAAGGTTCAAAGGTTATTAAACATATATTGTATAATGTATAAATATTATTTTGGGCTTAACATAAGTGTACAAGGCTGGATTTTCCAAATATTACAGAAAAATAAATGACAATGCAACTCAAGTGCATCATATAGACTTACAGAGAGGATAATTATTGATGAAAACTGTCACTAAGTGAATGAAAAATAATAGGTGATATTAAAAATATATCTTTTTTTTTCTGCTGTCGGCTCTCGTTTCTATTGAGCCTTACGCATGACGTATATACATTCCTACTTTTCCATCCAATCCTCATATCTTTGTTTCTCCAAATAACATCTTTTAAAAAACTGCATATTGTAGTTTTCCGCCATTGTTTTTAGGGGTTGCATAATCTGCTTAACGCAGGATTTTTATGTTTTCTCCCCAGCCTTTATCAATTTTTCTTTCTTCTTTTTCTTTTTTTTTATTTCTCCTATAATTTTATCGAATTATAAGTTGAATAAGAGTGGGCTTAGGCCAACTCCCTGACGTATCTACATCCAATGTTAATTAATTTTTGAATTTAATTTTGACTCTACTGTTAGTGTTAATGTCTTTTATTATCTTCATCATTCTGCTGCGCTGGTATTCTTTTCGTAGTTCTAATATCTAAGATCTTCTAATCTGACTCAATCAAAGACAAGTCTATGAAGCACATGTAAGCAGGATCGTAATATTAAATTGCTTTTTCGGCTATGAAACCTATTTATGTATGTTTCCTTCAATCCAATCAGAGCTGCGTTTTGTTAGTATGGGGCAATGCGAGTGTCGAGGTTTTTGGTTTTTTCTAGCGAATATATTCTGCAAAACTTTTTTATATTAAGGAAAACTTTTCAATATAACTGCAACATTGATATACATAACAGGATACTTAGATACCAGTAAGATAACTTAATACCTAATTTCAATTGTTTATGTCAGAATGGCCCCGGGTATCATGCAAAAGAAGGTTGAAGACTTCTACAGCTCTACACTCATTTGGTTATATAAGGAAATTCTAGAGTTGCTTTGCTGTTATTTTAACATTGACTTTCTGACCTCAATTTTTTCTGCTGTCTTTTGGTGATTCTTTTATTGTTGGGTTTTTAAGTATCACTTCTATACAGTGGTGGTCAATGCAATAGAGCCATTTCAATATATTTTGTGGTGAATAAACTTTTAATATCCTATGAAATTAAAAACAGATCTAATATTTTAATTTTGTTTAATACCCTCATATCATGTTGTGGGCATAGAGTTTCTAAGCCGTTGACAAAATTGCACTAATATTCCTATTCACTTTAATTATTTCCCGAAGTCCTTGCTATTTTTTTGCTTTATGATTGCCAACTAGATCTCGTTAAATTCATACAAGCAAAGAATATAATGATTTTAGATGCAATGCACATAATTACAAAAGTGTGCGAATAGGTGAGCAGTTTTTTTCATGTTTTCTTCATTGTTCATAGTTTACTGCTCAACAAAATTGGTAATTTGTATCTGTATGATTAAAAGCTGAAAATAAGATGAATAAGAGTTAATAAAAATACATATACACAGTATCATATTTAAAATAACTTCTTGAGCTAACCTCGAAAACGGCAATAAATAGCAACTATTGGTGTTATTTATTTTCATGCGAGCTGTTTCAAAATTATCTGTTGATATTGTCATACAATACCGGCATTTGAATTTTTCAGCTATATTAATTTTACTTTGAACAGAATCATCAATGTAGCTTAAGTAACTTCAGATAAACTCCAACCACGATGTCCTTCTAGTTGTATGATATCAGCACCTCAATTTTCTATAGCAATTTCCCTGTGTATTCCCCTGGGTTTTTAATTTTAAAAAATCATTTGTTTGGAAACTGGAAAATTCTCTTTTTTCATTAATTATTAATGACATTGAATTATTTGTTTTGGTCTTTGGAAAGTTAACTAGGGGTATTTATTTATTTTTTAAATATCAACGCAAAAGTAATATGTCTGTTAGTCTTGCTTAATCTGACACATCAAAACAAAATGGAAAAAAAGTTTCGTTTATAATTGTTAGATAGAGGATTTTCTTCTTAACTTGTGTCTACTTAACGCCAATAAACAGGTATTATTGATGTTTGAACAGGTTAATCGTATGGGGAAAACCAATCCTTTAACTCAACTGGTACTAAACCTCAAAGGGGTCCATCCGGACGATTCTTTTTCCATCATACCGTACGAGAAGGGCCAAACTTTCCTCAGGTATTTGGAAGCTACAGTGGGCGGTCCAGGTGAGCATAAATAAAACTTAGGCGCAAACATAAACGTTCCTATGGTCAATGATTCGTTTTAGAAGTTTTCGAACCGTTTCTAAAAACTTACTTCGACACGTTCAAATATAAATCGATCGAGACGAGCGATTTCAAATCGTTTTTCGAAAATTATTTTTCCGAAAAAACGGACATTTCGTCAATCGACTGGGACACTTGGCTCTATAGTCCGGGAATGCCTCCGGTCATTCCCGATTACGATAAATCTTTGGCGACGGCGTGCGACGAAGTAGCCGAAAAATTCCTCAACTGGAACGGCGAAGAGTCGATACCGATAACGTCCAAAGACAAAGAAAATTTTCGAACGGCTCAGCTAATATATCTCCTTCAAGTTATTTTACAAGCCCCGGCCCAACCGATCGTAAAGCTGCAAGCTCTGAACGACGTCTTCTCTTTCGATGGCGTTAAAAATTCTGAAATTAAGTTCAGATGGCTGAGGATTTGCATTAAGTCCCATTGGGAGGAGAAGGTCGATACGGTATTCAGTTGGATCAACATTATTGGAAGGATGAAGTTCGTGAGGCCTTTGTATAGAGATATGTTCAGTTGGGAACAAATGAGGAAAAAGACGCTGGAAAATTTCAAGGCGAATAGGCAGTACATGATGCACGTTTCGGCCTTTACACTGGCGAAGGACTTGCATATCGAAGACTGATTATAGTTTTTCCTCTATATTTTTCATATCCTATGCGCATGAATCAGAGCTTTATGATATCAACAGTTGAGTTTAATTTTGTTTATTATTATGAATATTTTATTTGTTCTAATATAACGATAAAGAGTCAGAAGAGTTTCTTTTGCCCATTTAAACCTTTATCATGACCGGTATCACCATGGTCCAGAGGTTCTCAAACAATCAAAAGAATGGTATTATATTAAATATGACATACCGCCTAAACTACAGTTAGCAAAAATCGAGGAGGGATTAAGTTTGTAAAGAAAGTCCTCATTCAAAAAGAATATTAGAAAATTTTGCAGCAGTAAAAATAACAATGGTTAATGAAATTTTAAAAAGATTATCTGTATATTAAAATCATTGAATTGAATTATTGAATTTGGGTAAAAACATTATTGGGGCATTTTTTAAAAGCAAATGCGGTGGCGTAATCAGATTTTTTCTACAGTTAACCGTTTTCTTATAAATGAATACAACTTTCTTATTGTATATGGCAATCAGTTGGCTGTGCTCTTAAAAAATATATATAGATTTGTTAGTAACTGTGATGAAAAAAGGCGGAAATATAGGGCACTTTTTGTATACATATTACTAGACGGTGTATAGTGTTCAAAAAACATCACATAGAAACCCTTAAAATAATTTAATAAATACTCTAACTTTAAAAAAGATAAGACAAATTTAGAATAGTAGTTATTCTAACGCGGGACTGCCACGATTCAAGGTCACCGATGGCATGTTCCATCAGCAGTTTACCAAAAGTCACGGATTAAAAACATTTTTTGACGTCATAGTGCCTTTTTGGCACGTCCCCTAGAGGAAAAAGTGGGTCACTGATTAAAAAAACTCGCGTCCGCCGACTTGTCTATTCTTGTATAAATTGTGAGATAAACAAATTGCACGAATTACGTGTCAGAAAGGTTACGTAAATATTAATATTGATAAGTTTGAATAGAAAAACAAAATAATTTCTAATCATTTTTATTTCCGTCATTAAACAATATGTTTGTTGGGTACAAGTTCAAAAATCCTCTAAATCGTAAAAATAATCTCTTGGATCCAATTTTAAAAAATCCCCTGAATCGTGTTCTTTTTTTTGGGACTTCTTTGCAATTTTTTCAATTCTCTTCCCTGGGCTGATTTTTATGCACACATCACAGGTGTAGAATGCTATCTGATTTTTGATACCACTTTGTTTCATTACGTCGCGTCTTCCACAGTTTTTACACAAAACTGGTACGTATCGAACTAGGGTGGACATCATATAGTGTGTGTCCTTGTCTTCGTCGTCTTTGATTGAAATGTTCCTCCAAGAACTTGTTCCTTTTATATATATCTTCAGTGACTCGGCGTTAAAATGCAGCGAGAAAAAAATTGTATTAAATTATGACTACAGAAAACAAATAGGTTCTTACCTTTTTAATATTGTCTTGTTGTTGAGTTTTTGCTGATTATGAAATTGTATTAATTAAAACAAAAATGATAAAACAAGTGAATATTTTTTTAACATAAATTTAATTTTTTTTATATCCCCAAGGCAATGTATCAGTAAATATATAATTAACCACTCTCTTGTCATCATACGGTGTTAAAACAATTTTCCTTTGGTTTACCGTAAAAACCTTTACTACGAAACAGATGTTCGTTGGTATACATTTGAGTTTTATCAAACAGACAATTATAATAGTCTTCAAAAGTGATTCTTTTTAATGACGAACCGGTAATACCTTTGACTTTTTTAATAGTTTCGACTTCTTTTTTGTTAGAAGATTTTTCTCGTTCTACATTTAACCCGACAAATACGTGCATAATGCTACCGTTGTTTTCGTCTTTCATCAATCCCAAAACTTTTTTATTAGCCAAAGGAATATTATAAATGTTATCGGGAGGACAATCAGAAGTGTCAAATTTATGAATATCTTCTCGAATACATTTATAAATATCGTCAATGAATCTGTATCTGAATACAAGAGTTTTACATCCTTGCCGAATTTTGGTATAATATAATGATAATGAAAATCGTATAAAAATGTTTTTGACATTTCTAAAATATTAAAACCAGCGTAAATGGGTTTATTAAATTTAATGTTCAATATCTTCATTTCAATGATAACCATGTCATTGTCGAAAATCGTTAAGCTTTGAAAATTTGGTTTTGAAATATAACTCTTTGCACCGTATCGTCTCGACCAGCTTGTTACCAGTTTAACGTCTTTATATTTCCGAAAACGGCATTATTCATTAATTTAAAAAAAAATTTTCGAATTCGTTTTTGCGTTACTGCCTCAAGTGTGTGGTTAGGTCAATATAGGTTTTCAACCACGGAGATCGGTTAAATTGTAATATTTTATGAATTTTTGTAACGCGTAAACCTAACTGAAGAGCCTGTTTGAGATTTTTATAATGTATTACGTAGTTTTTTTTATCAAACAATGTTGTCAATAATTTCGGCTGTTTTGTTTGACCCGTTGGTGGAATTATACGTTCCGGACATAGAGGTAGATCTTTGTGGACATCCTTAATTATTGTAGGATAATCTATATCTACTTCAAGAAGATACCCGTCAGAATTGTCCGACGTGTTTATGATAGAATAAAATGCGTTATTATCAATCCATTGGAACCCACCCGTCGGTAGTGGTAGTCTCATTGCCGTTCCTGTTGCATCAGGGTTTTCGGTGGTCTGTGATGTTCATATTCTATGGTCTTGAGAGGTTAGAATGTGGGACTCTCGGAACCTCATGACGCAGATTAAATAAAGGACTTTTAGTGGAGTTCTCTTTTATTACAAAAAGCTTCCAACACGACAGTTCCATATAGGTTATTTACATCGAAATACATTAAATATGAAGGGAATGTCTGGATTATTTCCATGTATTTATTGTTAGCCTTTCCGTATCGGTTAATGCATTGTGAAATTCCACCGCGTATTCCTTTTTCGATCATCATTAATTGATCGATGTCCGTAATTAATTCTAGTTGAACATTTGAAATAAGAAGACATGCATCGTATGCCAGACCCGGTGCCGTGTAATATTTCAAACATTCCAAGCCATACGTTTTTTGACATACATTTCTGAAATTTTCGAAAACGTCCGTCAATAATAAGTACGTCTGTTTTCAAATACAATTCCATATATTCGCGTAAATTTTGAATTTTGAATGTTGCCCAAATATTTTTGGCATGCTCGTAATCTTTTGTCGTAATACTTTACTATAGAAATTTTCAATCGGGGGCAATTCGACGTCGTTCAATTTTTCACAATCATCTAGATATTCATACGGAAAGACTCCCTTTTTCTGTAACAACTGAAATTTTTCGAGATTTTCGCAAAAACTTCTAGTAATGTTTTTTTCGCTAGGATCTAAATAAGAACTTAACTTATCCAAACTACTAGCCATAAATCTGAATGAATCCAAAAATCGTAAATTAACGCTCGTGTTTTCGATATATTTTGTAAACGATATATATTTTTCTTTGTTACGAGGTAGTAATATTACCGAACCGGGAATTTCAGTTGCCAAGTTTTTAATAAAAAAAAATGTAGATCGTATCCTAAGTTATGAAATACCACTAAGATTGCACGAAGAATGAGCAACTCCTCGATATTTTCCCGTGAAATGACAATGATCTTTTACTCTTAAATCATTTTCGGTAAATGGTTTTGAACAAATGTGACATGTGGTTGATGTATGAAATGATTCTTTTTCATGTTCAGTCAAAGGTGTCATTGAAACAGCATTGTTAAATATAGGATTTAATTGTACGGCCAGTTCTTCTAATTGTCGACAAAACCAGCTCAAACAATCTTTCAAATCGGTATTATGGTCGATGACGCGCTTTTTGGTGCAAAAATGTTTTACGTCGGTTTCGCCCGTTTGCCGTTTTACAAAATCTGCAAGAAATATTACGTTAACATTAATTAGGGACTCCCGAAGGGCTTTTTTTATTTGACAAGAGAATGATCTAGACGCCTTGCTAAAAAATATTGTAGGATCTTTAATATCTAAATTAACTATTGCTCCCGTTTTAATACGATTTTTAAAGCAAGACTCGTTATCAACCCGAATTAATGTTGCATTATTTTTTTTAACTCTTTTATGATGTTTGAATTGTTCTTTGAAATTTTTAAAAAGACTTAAATTTGATTCGATTTTTGTAACCGCTTTTCTGTCTGTCGAAGATGACGATACACTTTTTAAATATTTTTTTAAAATTAAAGTGTTTCTTTTCAGAAATTTGATCCACTTGTAATATTCATGTTTTCTTTTAATTAACTCACCAACTTCTTTAATTTTCACCAGCGTTTTTTCACTCAACTCACTGATTTCAGACATTTTTACGTATACGCAGCAGACTTTTTTGTCTATTCTAATAGACGCGTATGTGATAAATAATATCACTTTTAGAATTTTACCGCTTTTATCGGATAGCGGGGTTAGGGTCAAAACTATTATGTTTTGCTACATCTATGGTCCGAGGAACGTATGTAGACTAGGGTCTAGTTAAGAAGAAGGTTATGTCAGAATAAGAGGCGCGTGGTTACTTTGTACTTTTGGATTCATCTTTTTTCATGTTGCGTTTTGTAGTGTCAGTATATTGTTGAGTTTCGGACTTGTTTGAATATCCCGAATTGACCATTTCCTACATCATTTTTAATATTATGAATACACTGTGTTATTTTCGTGCTGACGAAGTGGAAATTTTAGGATAGATAATAATTAAAAAAATAAATGCATATAGACACTATGCAAATGGCTCCCAATTAGAAACGGTTACATCGATAAACTACTTGGGCACATTTCTTAACAATAAATGGGAACAAATAAATGAAATTAAGATCCGAATTGAGAAGGGTAGAACAGCTTTCAACCGAATGAGAAGCGTGCTGTGCAATCTAAATATAGGCTTACACCTCAGAGTCAGAGTTCTTAAATGCTACGTTTTCTCAATACTAACACATGGGGTGGAAGCTTGGACTCTAACCGACGCTGCATGTAAACGTCTGGAAGCATTTGAGATGTGGTGCTACAGACGCATGCTTAGAATATCATGGACCTACCGCGTAACCAACGAAGCCGTCCTACAGCGTATGAGAAAACAAAAAGAGGTCTTAAACGTAATCAAGGAACGCAAACTATCATACTTCGGCCATGTTATGCGAAACCAGAAATATAGCCTACTCCAGCTTATTATGCAGGGCAAGCTTAACGGCAAAAGAGGTCCTGGAAGACGAAGAATATCGTGGCTGCGAAATCTAAGACAATGGACGGGAATGACATCTATGGATCTATTTCGGGCTGCAGCAAATAAAATCAGATGGGCCATAGTAATCGCCAACGTCCACTGAGGATAAGGCACAGGAAGAAGAAGATATAGACACTCCGTCAACATTGATTTTTGAGTCAACCGATCCCGCCAGACTTTCCAACAAGATGCTGGCGGTATTTTAAAAAAATTTATTCAGGTAAATCCGTCACCTTCATTGCCTTGTTTTTCATAATTCACTAAAAATCTATCAAATTGTCATAGGTATGGGAGGAAAGAGGTGAAGATTGTGAACAAGAGAGTTCACTTGTATTTAAAATATTCACCGAAAAATGAAACGATTCAGGGAAAATTAAAAAAATCTTCCCGTCCGATGCCTGAGAGTGGCGGCCGATGACGAGGAAGAATTCCAATTATTATTGAAGGGGATGCGTGAATTCTCGGACGTCAACTTTTATGCGGCTGCCATAGAGGAGGACAAACCCGTACCGGCCAAAAAATTCAAGCCGGCTTCGGAAGAAGAGAAAATAAAAATTTTGGAAAACAGAATTTTAAAATCAATACACCTTAATGGTGACAGTCTCCACTTCTTCGGCGTGACCTTTACTTCTCTTACATGACCCCTTACGAAGAACTAGCTTTGGTACACTGCTGATGGAACATGCCATCAGTGACCTTGAATCGTCACAGTCCCGCGTTAGAATAACTACTTAGAATAACTTAAGTGAAAAATACAAAACCTAAGATAAAATATTTTAATTTTAATTATTATTTTTAATATTTCTGATTTTGAAAATAAAATTAAAGCCATTTTAACCTAATAAATAAAACAATAAATATTAGAATACAAAATATTGAAATTAAACTTTTTACATAAATCATATTGAAACATTTTAATGTAAATATTCATGCGCCGTCGTCTTCGATACAATGAACGCACGTTTCCACTAACTTCATATGATTGACGGAAGCAAAAGCTTCTTCAGTGGCTTATTTTAACTCTACTTTGGTTTGTAAAATTCTCTCTTCAAATATAAGATCTATAATCTCCTCCATAAAAAAAATCTACGGGACTTATGTCACAATCTCGCGGGCAACAGAATGGGGCCTGCCTCTAGTTCAACCCCAACATTGTCCAAACTCTTCATTTAAAAGTTTACTTACAATCCGTGCGCCGGGCAACCATCATGCTGATAAATACTTTTTCCAAGAATTCACAGCAAGCCTTCCAAAAATGGAATAACACATTTTCGTAAAATATTTATATAACCTTCCCCTGTCACATTTTCAGTAAAAAAATAAGGTCCCACAAATCCACCTCAAAAAATTCTTTCTAATTGTATTTATTAAATATTCCGGAACAGTTAGTTCTCGCTTCTTCACTCCAAACAATAGATAATCGAAAATTAATGTCTGCCTCTGCGTTTTCTTTTGACAAAATGTAAGACTATCACATCAAACTTTTCATAATTTTCGTACATTTTAAATTACTAAGTGAACTAAAAGTTCAAGTTTGGTAACAAAAATGAATAGTTATGTCCTTAACTGAGATTGACAGCTATGTGCACGACCTACTAATCTACAAATAAAACATGCCCTCTATTTCCGCCTTTTTTTCATCACAGATACTAACAAATCTATATCGCTGAAAAGGGCTTGACACAGCCATTTTTTTAAAGCCAAATATGACTGCCATACAAAATAAAGTTTTATTCATTTATGAAGAAACGAAAGACTGTAGAAAAATCTGAGTACGCCACTGCATTTGCCTTTAAAAAATGCCATAATAATGTTTTTACCCGAAACCAAAATTTTCATATCTCAGTATCTCTGTTGGTAGTGAAGATATCGCCATGCGGTTTTAAGCACTATGCACTTTTCTTCTAGTATAATAAGAGACATTACCAATCACCATTAAAGAAGCCTTCAAACCAGTTTTTAAATATTTGCCAATATGTTAATGAAATAATAATTATTAGTGATTATAAATATAACCAAATCTAGGAAATTAGAAGAGGTAGGTACCTATTTTGAGAAGATGCTACTTATTTATCTAATTATACAATTATATGAGTATAGCCTAGTAATTATCACAATACACTTGAACAAATTCTGAACGTATAGACCAACATAATGTTTTATTTGGTACCTTATGTTTTGAACGCACTAGTTTCTTCAAACAGTGGTCCAGTGTAATTTTGTTTACCTACTTTAACCATGTTTATTAGAATAAAGTAGACATGTAGACATTGAGAATTGGAGGAGAACTATTAAATTAAAAAATAAATAGTTGGACACAAAAAAATTGGAAATATAGCGAAGGAAACATGATTTATTGGGAAATGTAAAACTTAGTACAATGACAGTGTCAGTTAGTATGATATTCTAATACTTTCACTGCTTATTTTAGAATGATTTATCTATAAACATAGTCTTTTGGATAATCGATAATTTTAGGGCAAGTTGTTACTTCGTCTTCAGTGTAATGATCCAATCGTTTAGGAACAGGTCTTAGTTGCTTTATTTGGTTCGACACATTACCCAACAATTGTTTAGGGACATTTGTGTCAGGAAAAATGTGCAACCTTTCCATTGTGTAACGCCTTTGCAAATTTCCATCCATACTGTTATAAACAGCTTTTTTCAGTACCTGCAATGAACAACAGCTTACATATGAAAATATTTGGATTTGCTAATATAACCATAGTGGGGTCTTTGCTGTGCAAGTCCCAAGCTAATGTCCACGACGCACCCCCAGGATAACCTGTGTGGTGAAAATACACGCGTTTCTTCCACTCGTCACCAGGAAGGGCAATGTCTGCACTATTGATAACAATTACATGGTCCCCACAATCATCTACAATTAATAAGATTAATATTGCTGCCGTCTTCCTAACAAATTGACTTACTCATGGGGTGGTAGATGGGTTTGTGCAAGCCCATTAAAAAAGTTTTTATTACCTTCGCCGACTGGAAGGGATTTTGCCAAGCAGCATCGTATATGTGCCATATTCTTGCAAATGTTGCCCATTGCTGATAAAAAATGAAATTACAATCAACCCAGTTCTGAATCAATTAAGGACTAACCTGGACACGTTTTAAAGCAGACATTATATTATTAGTTAATATTGATTATAACCATCAGAATTTTCGTAAAAATTTGGTTATGGCCATATCACAGAACCCTTCGTCTCTTTTGCTTTTCACAGACAGATGGTGAACTATCATGGCCATTCGCGCATTACCGACTTACAGATCAACACAAAAAAAACTATAACCAACATTTGTTCTCGGCTTTCAAAAAAGGATTCTGACCGGTACTAAAAAAAAAACGGATTACCTCCGCTTTCACGCCTGACCATCGGGCTCATCCGGCATCCAACCGGCGTGAACACAGAAAACAGCGGGACCGGCACACTTTAAAACATTCACTAAACACTTGCGGAACAAAAACCGCACGAAAAAGAAACGATATTAGAGCGGAGGTTATACTCCACCACAGAATGTCACCACAGAACACTGTTCTAAGATATCTTCCAAAGGTAGGCAAGTTCATCAAAGACACTCTCTCATTACTGACACCCGTCCAGCAAGGTACTTCAAGTCGATATCTACTATATAATACGAAATTCCGTCATCCATACTAAACAAGCTTATATTAATTAGAACTTCGTATAACGTGAATTGGTTTGGAATACAGCTAATGTAGCAATCTCTAATGGAAGACACAATTTTTTTAAAACTGGCTTTAACTTACTGTAATCTGTGGACATTTTTTAAAAGTTACTAAAGGCAATCTTGTTCTTTAACATAATAAATTAGATATAATAGTTAATTAGCCGATTTATTTTCGCCAACTTAACGTTAGCGGCTACGGGTAAGGATGACGTCCCTAGTCTTCTTGTCAATATTTTGGCTTTGCAACTAGGCAGTCTGCCAAGGACGTCCCTAGTCAACTTGCGCTCGATGTTTTATAAGCTATTTGTTTACCTTAGCCATTAGATATTTATCTTTGGATTTTTTCTGCAATGAATTTTGCTTAAAAGTCAAATACAGTATAATGTAATTAATACCAAATGTTTGTATTGACGCAGTCACATGGATTGATGAACGCATAGTAGATGGGTATTAACTATGGGTGCGTATTTACCGTCTGTGGTTCTGCTTTCGGATATTATTCAATGCTCGAAACTCTGGCAACGGGAGCATTCAGCCATTTTGTTTAGTCGATAGGAATGGTTGGCGTTTCGTGAATGTTTGAGAAAATTTTGAAAGAACCTTTATTTTGCCCAGTGCTGTGTAGTTTGTAAAGTATGTTCTTTTTATTATTGTTGCTTTAGTATAGTTTTAATGGTGATATGATGTTTATAGCTAGTGTTTTGCATTGTGTTTTTAGGAAGGGAGTGCTGTGTCATCCATTGTGTTGTCCGTTAATTGGTGTGTTCAGTGCGTATGATCACTGGAAAGGACCGAATTACTGTGAGGATTCCTAATACTGCTATGAAAAGAAGTAGTGATAGAGACACTCCTCCAAGAAGTAAGCGATCGAGATCGAGCATGGGACGGTACGACGATAGTTCAGACGAAAGAATCACGCCCGATAGACTTCGGCGCCGCGGAAGTCGCGGTCGTTCGCCGAGTCCGCGACCTCGCTATATCTCTCCCCATCGTGACGATTATATGCGTCCACCCGAGAGATCCTATCCTTACAAAGTACTTTGCGTCAGCGCCCTTCATCCCAAAGCTAGCGATGAGGTGATAAAGGATACTCTATATAGGGAATATAAGAAATATGGTGATCTTACCATAAGAGTAACTCACGATCTGGACGAGAGGGTGGCGTATGTATGTTTCCGGAACCCCGAAGACGCACGTGACGCGAAACACAGCAAACCGCGTATTATAATTTACGATAAGGTCGCGTTGGTAGAAGCCGTTTACGAAGTGCCGCGTTCGAGTGATATTTACCGTGGCAGGCCTAGGTCTATCACTCCGGAATATGACCGGCACTATTACGCGAGGTCACCCGAACGATTAAGGCCACTCGATCGGTACGACCGGGCCTACGGCCCGCCTCCTGGAATACCCGTCCACCGGGAATATAGACGCGAAGCTTTGCCGGCTGCCCACCATGATTATTTGGCTCGACCGCCCATGCATCACGGTCCGCCTCACATGGCGCCCGCGCATAGCTACGGTCCCCCAAGGCATACAGTGCCGCGTGCGCAATTTGAAAAAACCGAAAACAAAAAGGATAAGTTTCCAAATTATCTGCACCATATTCAGCCCGAAGATGATCCGCTAGCAACTCGGACTTTGTTCGCCGGAAATTTGGAAATCAACATAACAGAAGAAGAGTTGCGAAGGATATTCGGCCGTTACGGAGTAGTGGAGGACATAGATATCAAGAGACCTCCTCCTGGTACAGGTAACGCGTTCGCTTTCGTACGGTTCCACACTTTGGACATGGCGCATCGCGCCAAAGTTGAGCTGTCCGGACAGTACATAGGAAAATTCCAGTGCAAAATAGGTTACGGCAAGGCCACGCCGACAACGCGGATCTGGGTCGGTGGTTTGGGAGTGTGGACCTCGATTCCCCAGTTAGAACGCGAGTTCGATAGATTCGGGGCCATAAAAAAAATTGAGTATGGCAAAGGCGAGAATCAGGCTTATATTTTGTACGACAGCATCGATGCTGCGCAGGCCGCAGTTAAAGAAATGCGGGGTTTTCCTTTAGGGGGCCCCGATAGGAGACTTAGAACAGATTTTGCGGACGTCACGCCCGGGGTCGCCTACCGTCCGAAACCGCCCTACAGCGACGTCGCCGACGAATTTAGACGTCTGGATTATGAGTATGATTATGATCGGGCCTACGGGGCCGGGGCTTATAGGGACAGATTAGCGTATCCTGAACGTAGGGCGGGTAGCAGAGGTCCGTACCGCTATCCAGAGGATCAGGAAGAGTGGGCCAGAGCCCGAGAGGGAGAGTTTCCCAGAAGATCCGGCTCGCGCGTGGATAGGTCCCGTTCTCGTTCGCCCAGGAGATCTCCGGATTCCGATTCCGATAGTGGATCCAGAAGGGCCGGTCTGTTGGCCTCGAGTCGCACGTTGCCAGAAGTGGCGCGAAAGTGCACCACGGTATGGCAGGGAGCTTTGATTTTGAAAAATTCCCTATTTCCCGCCAAATTCCATCTGATGGACGGCGACACGGACATTGTGGAGAGTCTCATGAAAGACGAGGATGGTAAACATCAGTTGCGGATCACGCAGAGGTTGAGGTTGGACCAGCCGAAGCTGGAGGACGTGCAGAAGAGGATACAGAGCGCGAGTTCGCACGCCATATTCCTGGGCCTCGCGGGGTCGACGGCTTCGGTGTCGAACGAGGACGCGTCGGTCCAGACGAGGCCCCTTAGGAATCTGGTGTCCTATTTGAAGCAAAAAGAGGCGGCCGGCGTGATTTCTTTGCTAAATAAAGAGACCGAGGCGACGGGGGTGCTCTATTCGTTCCCCCCGTGTCCGTTTTCTACCGAGCTTTTAAAGCGTTCCTGTCCCAACTTATCCGACGAGGCGATCAAGGAAGATCATCTGATTATAGTAGTGGTACGTGGCGGTACTGCCTAATTTTTGTTATGTCACATTTATGATTATTTGGTATTGCATAAGGTATAGTCATATATAACGTGGATGATATAGGTTAATGTCAAGGGGCCGACGTTCCGATTCGAAAAAGTATCCCCCATTTTTCTTTATTTTAGTGTTATTACCAGAACGTTTTGATTAATTTTTGGGTTGTCCTTGTAAATGTTTTACTACACTCCTGGGGTACTTTTCGAATACGCTCTATTAGTGTGATGTCGAAGTATGGGATTTAGAGACTATTTAACAGAGTCCGTGATCCGTTTATCAACAGTGTACTACTATTCATTTATTGGTTTGGAAATATTAAGATTTTAAATAAAACAACGAGTTGAGAGTGCTTTAATTAAAAATAACTTTAAATATTAATAGACCCAATAATTTTTCAGAAAATTCATTATCAAAACTGATTTGGCTCGTTAAATAGTCTCTAATAATTAAAAACTGCGGCAACGGTAAAAAACTTCCACCGCAAGTAAGATCGCAAACGTTGACAGTTGCCAACCAAAATGACCCACACTACGTCATCACTAATATAGCGGATTGAGGTTTTGTTCGCGATTTATTTCTTTGATACAGGTTCATGTATATTTAAAAGCCCCGAGAATGGTTACAAAATCAAAAGTAATTGGCTTGGGCCATTATTGGGTTCGAATTTGACTTGTCGACGTCAAATTGTGATACAGCACCCTGCACGTTTCCTACATCGTGGTTATACATTTTTTTTCGTTTTTTTTTTACTTTATGACTGTACTTTATTGAGACAGCTTTTAGTTATAGTACACATTTTTTTATTGTCACCGATATCCGCAATATCTCACGTTATTTTTTTGTGTTTGCGTCTTTGTGGGCCAAATTTATTTAATTTTTTTTTATATTTACATTAACATCTTTATTTCAGGAGATCGGAGATCAACGATAAGTAACTTTTGTGTAGGCCCTTCATTTTGTGTAACACTTGTCATGTACGTAACAGGCAGTGGTGTTTATGGTCTAAGTGCTTTGCAGTTCTTTCCCATTGGGTTTGCGCAACTTGAATTCAGTGGTTTTTGGTTTTCATCGTACTATTCGTGGATGTTCCTTGACATTAAGGGATGTGAAAGAACTGTTCATTAAACGCAGTGCGAAAAATTCATATTCGTGTATTTAACTTTAATCGCATGAGTCGCAAATTTATAAACAGACCTCGTGATCTATAGTGGTAGGAGCTCACGGTGGAACAAATTGTCATAATGTACTCTGACTAGTTCGTATCTTGCTAAGCGGGTCATATAGGAACACTTGGATGGAAAATTATTGTAGTGTAGTGGAAATAGATAAAAGTTTTTCTGGCAATAGTGTTTTGTTTCGTTGAGTTCCTTTAGTGCAAAGTGCAGCAGAATCCTCTGATTTTTTTTTGTTTTGAAAGTGAGTAAAGGGGGGGAAACCTTAGTTTGTGTAGTGAAGGGTCTCAGATAAAAGTGGTGATGCAGATTTTTCTTAAACCAATGTCAGTGCTCTTATCAAACAAAAAAAAATGTTGCAAAATCAAAAAGTGATCTCACTAGAAATCAACCAAAGATTTGACTGTGTTATTAAAATGGTAAATAAAAAAACTTATGCCAAATTGTCGAAAATACGGTCTTATTTTTTTACCCCCAAATATTTTTTTATATTGCTAACTTGTTTTAAAATTAGCTATTATGGTGTTCCGACTGCTGCTGTAAGTTGAAAAACACCTTAAGATAAGTATTGCCAAATTTATTGACCAACATAAAATTAATTAATATACAGTAAGGGGTAAATCACGTTTGAAATCTGGTGTACCAGCTCTGTGAAATCCGTGAAATATTTCTTTGCAATAATTAAAGCATCTTTAAATAATAAAAAAAACGCCAACATGTAATTATTAAATCAATATTTTAAAAGTTGGTTGGCACATAACCAGTTACGTTAAATGAATTTTATTGGTGGGATCTTTAATTTAGATTTCTTGGAGTATTCACTCAACCCAGTGATTCCAAATGATTTACTTTTTTCATTGCAATTTTTCATCAACATATATTCATAATTATAAAAATTGTTTTTAAATGTCTTAAACCTGGTCCTTAAATAATTTAATATAGGAAAAATTGTTCACTTAGTTCTGGAATAAAATGCAAAAATATCACAGAAAGAAAGAAAAGAAATCTTTGTGAAATCCGTGAAATCTGAGGAGTCTGGTGAACCAGCTTTGGTTGGTGATTTGTCCCTCGCCATCTAGTGTGTCCTCTTGTAGCAGCTGGACAGCTGAATTAAAGAATACATGCCTCTTTTTGATAACAAAAATATTTTTTTAAATTGGTTTTATTAGTTTTAGTAGTTTATAAGTTTCTTTATTAGAGTTGCCACTGAAAAGAAGACAACAATAAATCAGAAGTACTTCCCTTAAGTAGTGTCTAAAAAATATACCTACAGAACTAGAATCCATATATTAAAAAAAAAAAATCGACAGTACTGGAGAAAAAGTTATATAAATGTGAATTAAACTGAGAAAAAATTACTAACTAAACAATCCACCTTCTCGGGAACTCCTTGCAGTGCATTTTTGTTTTGGACACATGATATATGTGTTGTCTGAATTGGATTTGTGGGCAGATTGCACTAGTGATTTTCCCTTCTAACCAATTGTATTTTTCGATTTTATTAAACAAAAGTGAATTGGTGCATTCAGAAAAACAACATAATTGTATTAAAGAATATATTTTCATATAGCCGTACGCATTTCCATTTAGAGCTTTTTAAAAGTCTGTAAAACATTTTAAATGCTTTATACGTCCGTTAATTATTACATGCCCAAAATCGAAAAAAGCAAAAAACTGATATTTCTCTTTTTTTGCTGTACTTCTTCTCGGTTTATTTGTTTTTCGAACTAGTTTTCATTTAACTGGTTGTTCAGATTTTGAGCATGTGTCTACGGTTATAATGCAGTGCTTATTAGAAAATATGTGGCGCAAAAAATACGAATATTTATCAATAAGTGTAAATAAATAATGGTGTGGACCGTTGGATCACAAAAAAGATTAAAATATTTTTGTTGTATAGGTTCTATAAGGAAATTTTAGTATAATTAACATCACAGGTCGTAACTTTTTTTTAAATTTATAAAGGCAAAAGTTTAATAAAAACCTGCAAAAAATCCCTTGAAATAAAACTACGTATGCTTATACTTTTTCCATTTGTGGTACTCCTGTCAAAAAAGACACCAGGATTGAAAATAGGGTACTGCTTACTGCGCTACAAATCATGTTTTTTAAAAAAATGATTTTAGAAAAAGTTATGGCCTGATGTGATAATTACGGGACACCGGGAATATACATTTCTGACAACTGAAACGCAATTTATCACAGCAGTGAATTGAGAAACGATTTTGAAATAGAAAGTGGTTATAACCCTTGTCTGTGGGGCCAGCTACTAAAAAATTTGCTCAACTATCAAATTCTTTAAATTCTATTAATACCTTCTTAATCGAGACTGTTTTATTATTGTAATTTTTGCCAAACACAACAACCGCTAAATAAATAAAAGCTTAATATGCAACTGAGCAATGCCCAATTTAATAGATGAAAAAAATCTTTGGAATTCATATATATCTAGTAACTAAATTGTTTGCATCAACATCATAACTTCGGGTTTGAGGTAAGTAATATTACCGGAGGCTTTTACTTCTTCGCTCACTGAAGGATCCCACTCGAATATGAGTATTGTAGCAGGAACCAGTCGTAATTCAGCCAGTGAACTGTCGTAATCCTTTTCTTCTAGTTTAAGGCCCGTAGGAGATGCCAGTAGGAAAGGAAGGCCTTCGTGTTCCAAGTTCTCCTTCACAAAATCGATCACGTCGCCGTATTTTTCGTAGACGAAAAATGTACCCTAAAAAAGTTAAAAAGTTTAGACCAATTTAAATTGAAAACTAGTTACGCAACACTTTGACATTTTACGCAAATATCAAATACACGAGCCACTTAAATCAACTTAAAATTAAGGGATCTCATTTAAGACCGGACGATAACACCTATACAGCAGCATGCTTAAAAATACAATATTTTAAGTAATTTTATGAAAAAAATGCACTATAAACGTCAGTTATGCCGAGTGCCTAATTATTCCATATCTAGAAAACAAAGTAAGATAAAGCTTAATTTTTAATTTGCTCTAACTAAAGTAAAGAATCAATGTACAGGTTGTCCCAAATTTGACGGGAACTATAGGGATATCGCAAACTTTAAGAGATACGTCGCTTAAATAGAGGCGCTTTCCCATTGCAACTTTTTCTGCCCTATAAAATGACATTATTAGTATTTTTTTAAAGGCAGATCTGTATTTTTTAAAAATATTTTCAATAGGCTTGCCACTCTCAAAAAATACATGTATCACACCTTTTACTAAACAATAACTCTCCAAAATTGACATTAAAGCATTAATTTACACAAAAAATAAGGTCTTTTTGTTAAATGGGGGCTTTAATTACATTTCGCTTTGGTAACTGACACTAGCCAAAAAAAAAGACTTCACGGTAAAAAGTAAAAGCCGTCCAGTTAATAACTAGGCATGCGAATGATCCAGAATTCACTAGTAATTCTGGAATTTCTATGTGAATTTTAATAAAAATGTAATATTCGCGTTTTTTCACATACATACAACAGTAAAAAGTAACTGGCACCTTAATAATTAACAACTATGCCGACTATGTAAATTTGCCCTAAAATAGATAATTTTGGGGCAGTATTGTTTAGTAAATCATTAAGTGTGATACATGTATTTTTTCAGAATGACGAGCTCTTTCGAAATTAAAAAAAAATGCAGATCTGTATTTAAGAAAACTGAAACGTCATATTTCAAACTCATTCGAACTTATAGGGGAGAAAAAGTTGCAATAAGAAAGTGCCATTTGTTTAAAGAAAAAAAGTGTTTAAGGCGAAGAAAAAATTCAAAAGAACTTGCTGAAACTTTGCGATGGGTCCTTGTCCTTCCAATCTCCTTCCTACAGCACTCTTCCATTTCTTGAACTATGTTGTTTATCCATTTTTTTCATAGACATACCTTAGATGGTATTCTTTTGTCGTTCCTTCGACGTAAACGCCCGTACCATTTCAGCTTTTTCATTTATCGTGTCGACGATAGTACTTGACTTGATCTTGTAAAGTTAAGCTACAATATCTTCTCCAGTACTTCATTTCTGAAGATAGTAATTTCCGATTTAAATTTTTGTATACCACCCACATCTCCGCTCTCTATGTCATAAGCGGCTATACTAGAGTTTTTTTTTTGTTAAGTTTTTTATTTGCAATATTGGGTGCAACGTTGTTACCATGTTTTTATCTCTGCCCATTTTTTCATTATGTCCTTGTCTTCTCCCCCAAACGATTTACAATTTTGGTCATTCCTTTTTCTAATTTTATATCTTGACCTGCTATAGCCATCTTTTGGGTCTTCTGTGTTCACTTCCAGACCCCACTGATTGTATTCCTCCATTAATTTGTTAAGCATGTATGTCATATGTTGATGATCTTCAGCCATAACACCTCGGTCCTCAGCAAAGAGAATAGTGTATATTTGGCTGTTATTCAGCCATATTCAAATTGTGCTGTACTTTCTACTCCACTACTTTAGAGCGGCACAAACACTCCTCTTGTCTGTTGAAAGACTGCAGAGGTGTGGTCTCCAATTATTACTATCATCTGGTTTCGCTGCTTCCTCTACGCTAATTCATAATTTTTGAAGAGGAACAGAATCAAAGGCTGCGCAAGTCAATAAAAGTAACATCAAGTGTTTTTCCTTTTGCTCCATATTTTAGTGTGAATACGTTATCTGTGCACTACCTTCCTAGTCTAAAACCACTTTGTTCCTCAATCTCCTCAACCTCCTACTTATATCCGGGATTTTAGAACTCTCCTGTACAGTCTTCCTGCTGACGATGTTTTGTTAATTTCTCTATAATTTCCGCATTCACCCCAATAGCCTTCTTCAAATTTGGAACACCATGTACAAGGGTTCATTGATATTTTGATACCCACCTACACAGTTTATTAAAGTGTGATAAGTAAAAACTTTATATACAAAAGTAGTATGATTTTTTCTGTATCATCTTCCAAACGCGCCAATAAAAACAAATGAGCGACGCAAACGTATAAAAAATGAACAGCTACATTTTTTTAAATGGAACACCCTGTATATTTCTACTTAAGATGAGAGTCCTTTGTAGACCGATTTAAAAAATATATAGTTTTTCGGTATTTGGCTTAGCCGGTTTGTTGCTTTTAAAATAAAATTTAATTCAAAATAAAGCAGAATGTTTAATTATCATTGGCGATATTCATGTTTAATTTGCGTTAGACAGCCATCAAAACTTATACGCAATGTCTTTGTGTTCCAAACCAATAACGGTCATTGATAATTAAATTATTCTAGTTTTGAATAATAAACTCGAGTTATATCAAAAAATTTCATTTCATTTTAAGTCGAAATATACAGGGTTTTCCATTTTAAAAAGTTAAGAAGTTATTGGTATGTTCAGAAGATGAGAAAAGATCATACAACTTTTGGATAGAAGGTTTTTGCATAAACGAATAATGGTCATTGATCATTAAATTCTATTTTTGTATAATAAACTAGAGTTATTTCAAAATTTTCATTTCATTTTAAGTCGAAATATACAGGGTGTTCTATTTTAAAAAGTTAAGGAGTTGTTGGTATGTTCAGAAGATGAGAAAAGATCATACAACTTTTGGATAGAAGGTTTTTGCCTGTCTAATTTAATAAACCCTGTAGGTGAGTGTCGATATTTAAATGAAAACCGATTATATTTATTCACTTTTTGCAGTTGTTGATGAATCGACGTTTCGCCAATCATCCTGTTGGCTTCTTCAGAGCTTAACTGAATCTGATTCGCATTCAGCCCTGTACCTGGTTGTATATTGTTTGAGGTGGGCGGAGCTAAAGAAGGGGGGGCATGAACATTGTCTCGGAAGGTTGTGGTGAACCCTTAATATCTTGAATGTCGGAATTATTTCAGAGAAGAGCAAATATAAGGTGTTTTAATTTTGTATGGAGCGACTCTGGTTAAGATATTTTTATACTTCTGTAAACGAGAGAGTTGATAATCGATGATTTTTGGGCCAGGTGGTGATGTGACACTAAGGTATTGGTGTGCATAGGTTTTTTGTAAACACGATGACCCAATGTTAGGTCTGATTTTCTATTGATAAGAATATCTAAGAATGGAAGGTTATTATTATTTTCCAACTCAATGGTAAAATGTATGTTAGGGTGTATAGAGTTTAAATGTATAAGGAAATCTACTAGGGATTCTTGACGATTAGGTCAAATAACAAAAGTATCATCGACGTAGCCTTTCCATAATTTTGGTTTTAGATGGAAGGTGTCGAGAGCTTTCTTCTCAAAGGCTTCCATAAACATATTCGTGATGACTGGTGATAGTGGAGAACCCATAGCGGTTTCTGACTTTGTTCAAAAATTTGATCATTATATCAACTAGGCTCAAAACACATGAAAGACTATGACAAATAAACTCATCAGCAGTTGCCAAACACAATAACAAAACCAGACCTCAAATATTATTCGATAAAACTAAAATTCTTGTATGTAATAAATTCTTCTACCCACGAAAAATCAGAGAATCTATACAAATCTATAAGCAACCAGACAATATTAACCGACTCAGGCTGTAAATAGTATTACAGTAGCCTGTGAAACTTTCTTTGAAAAAATAATATTCAAGATATTAGCATTTTAATTGAGTTGGTGCTAAATCAACCCCTATAAACAATACTGCCATATTTAGCAAAAAAGTCAACCAATTTTTGATCAAATGGGAGAAACATCACCTTCCAAAATATTACTGAATATATTATATCATATCATAGTTTCTGGAAATTTTCTTAACAAAATTTTTTAAAAATGAATTTTTTCCTTTTTTCATATGAACCTTACTTTAACCATCTATTTTTTTTTAAGAAAACAATTTTCTCAGATTTTTGTGGAATGAAATGTTTTCATCAAAATTATATGGGCTCACTTGCAAATAAAGGCCATCTGGAAATCTGATCCTGATCAACGAGAACTTATATTTTCTTATTTCGCGAAGCTCGTCTTTTTCCTTCATCGCTTTTGTTCTCAGCTGCAGCTGCTTTTCAGCCATCTCTGATCTAAAATTGAAACACCAAATTGTTTAAAATAAAAAATATTATTTACAGGTACTGCGAAAATGAATACCTCAGCTGTTGTTCCTTCTTCAATTCTTCAGGGGAGATGGCGTAAAAATCCTGGGGTAGTTCAATTTTTACTGCTGCTTGTGCTGGTGAGAGCACCTGCAGATTCCTATCCAGTTCTAATTCCACGCGGTTTTCCGATTTTAATGCATCCCTCAAATTCTAAAATTTACTTCCACCGTTACAGCCAAAAACATTTATTTTTAAAATTCGCTTAACAAGTAAAGCAACTATAAATGACATTCAAACTAAATATCTTTGGTTGGGTTTTTATTCTATCTCCACCTACATATTTATTATATTTTTTTGTAGGAAATAAATAGTTTTCATGTATTGTTAGCTTATTTTTTCTAATAACCAACACTAAAAAATAGTACATGGGGTTACTTCAACACCACATATTTCTTGGGAATGGTTTAAAGAAACCACTAAGAACCCTGATTCCCTTTTCTGATAAATTAAAAATTTGAACCAAAAATAAAAGAGATCATTTAGAACTAACCTCCAAATTTTCCATTCCTTCTATATTTTCTAGAGACCATAACCAGAACTCCTCTTCAACACCATCATGCTCCAATTTTGCTTGTCGAAATCCCGCTGCATACAGAAACTCAGTGGCTCCCAAAATTGGAAGTACTTTTTCAGTAAAGGTCTTATTTGAACAACGAATTTTGTGGAATTTTGTTTCAGTAGGGTTACCAATAATATTGTCAATATATCGAATCAGAATATTTACACAATCATTAACCTAAAAAATCACATTTCATCATTAGTAAGAATTTCAAAAACTCAGTCAATCTAGACGTTGTGTAAAAAGATTTTTGAAATTAAATTTACCTATGTTCTGCTATAGTTGCAGGAATATATTATTTGAAATGCTACATATCTTTAAACAAAATTTTTTGTTCTGCTCTATTAAAAATGCTCCAATACCTATTTCAAATTCTTTTTTTTTTTTAAATAACTTTACCTTTGTTCTACTGTAGTTGCAGGAATGTATTATTAAACATGCTGTAATACCTCTTTCCTCTTCTAGAGCCTCAAAAAGAAATTCTTTTATTTTCACTTTCCATTCTTCTTTTGGTAAAACCTCGTCACTAACTAAAGGACACTTGAAATAAACACCTAAAATTAATTAAAACTAGCAATCAAATGCCGAAACCTTGCATTTAATGATAGTGCACCTTTTACAGCTAAATGGGAAGATGTTTCCAATTGAGTTTGTTTAGAGTTTACAGACAATTGAGGTAAATTAGAATCTGCACTCTTTTTTTCCGCTTCCAATTCTCGCCTCACTTGTGCTTGAATTGCTGCTAAAGATGTATTAAAAGGTGTGTCCTTTCGTTGACTACTTAACCTCGCCAATGCTGCTTCAGCAGCTTGGCGAGTTGCATCGGATGGTTCGCCTCGTTTCGGAACTGAAGTATTTATTTTTTGAGGTGGCACTACAGAGGTCGATGAAGATTCGTTCAGTTTATGACCAGGTCCAGCAAGTTTAAATTTGGCATCTGCTTTCTTTTTTTGAAAAAACTTTTTAATTTTTTCTGCCATAATGGTTTATATTCGAGGCGTATGTTCTTTGGGAAGTGCCAATTTTGAAACACTGGCTTTCAGCTCTTCGATTTCGTGAATACTAGCTGGAAATTTGTTTATGAAGAATGGATTGAAATTAAACGGAGATACGTACTGGGTTTTATAAAGCGTTGGTAGATATCAAGTCCATAGTATTTCCAAGCGATAAATATTAGCAACAGATTAAAACCAAGTATGCCCGAAAAAACTTTCAGTAACGTGCACTGAAACTCGCTGAAGTTTGTAAGATCTGATGTCAGTTGGTCAGGTTCGCGCAAAACAACGAATGAATCGTGAACGTATATCTGAAGCGCGTTTAAATAAAATAAGACACTCTTGAAAATCGAAGAATTTTCAAAATAATCGGAAAATGAGGACATTACTTGGAAACGCAAATACAAAATGTATTAAACTCCAACATCTGATTTTTTTTTTTTTTTTTTTATTTACGCTTTATTTAGCCACTGCTGCTAAGGCAATTCGGCCAGCTTCACGGTAGTGGTGTGCAATAAACTATTTCCATGAAGGATGCCTCCGTAAAGAGGGTCTGGGTGATACCATCATCCTACTGGACGGCTATACAGGGAAAAAAAATGGACGAAAGAATTAGAATATGTGAAAACAATATTCAAAGTTTTAATCCACATGCATCTAAAAATCGGCAAACAATTCTAGCAGCAAAATCCAACTGAGTGCGGTGAAATAAAATGGAATTAATATGCAGAGGCGAAGGAAAATTAGCACTAATGAGTGACTCATACAACTGTTGTGATTTTTCCCAATGAAGAGCACAATCAAACAGCACATGACTTAAATCGCCCAGTTCTCCACATTCACAGTCTCCGGAGAGTTTGACTTTGATTCTATTTAGGTGAGCCGGAGAACAGCAATGGTTGCTTCTCAGTCTACACATAGTTGTAATTTCTCTTCTATTCAGGTCGAGCTTATGAAACCAGGGTTTAGTTGGCGGAGTAGAATAATGTGAGGTGAAATTAACTCCTTTCCCTAATCCTATATGTTTCCATCTGTCGCTCCAAGCATTCCAGATGTTATGCTTTAATTTAGGGAAGAATTCCCTAAAGCTCAATTTTATATTTTCCTGTGGTTCGAGGCGTGCAGCATTGGCGATCTGATCCGCAATATCGTTTTCTTTTATACTGGTATGGCTTGGTATCCAGCATAATTGGATGTCCTTATTTTGCGTTTTTATTAAGGTAAATAGTTTATTCTTAACCTGCAAGGTTAGGTAGTTAGACTTTGCATCCATCCCAGTTTTATTGATATCTTCGAGGGCACTTTTGGAGTCTGAAAGGATGACTGCTTTGTTGATGTCCTTGAATTCAATCCAATCAAGAGCTTGACCAATAGCATAAATCTCGGCAGAGCAAATGGATAGTTCACTTGGTAGGCCTTGTCCCATTTTAAGGTTCGTATTGTAGTTGTAAACGCCAAAACCTACTCGGCCTTCTTTATCTTTTGAGGCGTCTGTAAAAATTAAATGAAAATCTGGGGTCCAAGTCTCGCTCTTCTTAATTTCAAATAATTTGGAGTTATTATTATCTTTCTTTAGTTTTAAGTCTTGGATTTGAACAGAGCTTAAAAGGTTCGGCAGTGGGCAAGAAAAACAGGGATAAACTGGGCTCCTGTAAAGTGTATCTAACAGTGAATCAACTCTTTCAAAAGCATCCACAAGTGCAGGAATACTCTTTTTCCGAAAAAAGTAATAGTTTTCATTATAGGTGATATATAACCATCTAACCGCAGCTAAGGTTTCACTGTCCACTAAACTGGCAGCTTTCAATAATGATTTAGTCGCTAGCATGTATCTTCTGTGTTCTAAATCCATTTCACTTGCTTCCCCTAGAAGTATGTTAGTAGGTGTGGACTTCATATATCCCAGAGCTATTCTCAGTGCCTCAAATTGAATTTTGTTAAGTTGAGCAATAGACTTTCTTGAGCTACCACCCAAAAAAGAGGCTCCATAATCCAAATGGGGTCTAACATAAGCTTTGTAAAAAGTTAGAAGGGTAGAGGGATGTGCCCCCCACCAGATTCTACTTATAAATCGCATCATATTCAACCCACCTGAAGCTTTCTGTATCATATTTCTAATTTGTGGCTCCCATGACAGTTTTGGATCAAAAATCACTCCTAGATATGTGATGGAATTTGTCCATGCAATGGTTCGAGTGTTGAGGTGAAGTCTGGGGAGATAATTAACCTTGTAATTCTTCCTGGAAAAAAATATAGCTGCAGATTTATTGGGGTTAATCTCAAGTCCTACATTCAAAGACCAAATATGTATATTTTGCAAAGTTCTATTCAAATTGTTCACTATTGTTTCGGCATCAGTCCCAGTACTCAGCAAGGCGGTATCGTCCGCAAACTGTAAAAGTCTTATGTTCTCAGGAATTGTTTCATTGATTGAATTGATGTAAATATTAAATAGTAATGGAGAAAGAGGGGAACCTTGGGGAACTCCCTTGCTAGTGGTTCTGCCTGACACGAATGTATTAGTAGATGGATCTTTAACTTGTATCTTCCTGTTCGTGAGAAAATCTTTAATGAGCAAAGTCAAATCTCTGGCGATTCCAATTTTGGCCAACACCGAGGTCAATAAGTCAACATTTATATTATCGTAGGCATTGGATATGTCCAAAGTCACCATTGCTGCTAGTTGATTGCGAGCCAAACGGCAGAGGACCTCTGAGGAGATAACTGCAAGATTGTCGAAAGTTCCCTTACCCTTTCTGAAACCGGTTTGGCGAACGTCTATTAAACCTTGGTTCTCTACGAACCATTCCAGTCGGTTTTTGATCATAATTTCAAAAGTTTTGCTTATGCAAGAAGCTAGGTTGATGGGCCTGTAGGACGATAACGCTGAGGGGTCTCTCCCCGGTTTAGGAATTGCGATCACCATTTGGGTTTTCCACGTCTCTGGAATGGTGGTTTCCCTCCGAAGTATTTTGTTGAAAAATTTGATAAGAAAGACTGCTCCTTCAACAGGGAGATGGCTGAGCACACTGAAAGGTACTTTATCCACACCGGGACTCTTGCTCTTCCGACCTTTAACGGCCGCGACAAATTCTGAGATATGGAAGTCTTCTGTATATTCTGATGAGAAGCGACATTCGGGGATATTAGGCAACCTAGAGGGAGGTTGCGTCAAAAGATCAAACATATCTTGTGGGATTGAGAAATTCAAGGGAAAATGATAATTTTGGTACCTGATACCTTTAGCAAACCTTCTAATACTGCTCCAAACTTCTTTTGCACTAGTATTTGGAGATAGATTCTCACAAAAGTTGACAAAGCCTTCCTTTTTCTTCTTACGTAGCAGCTGTCTTGTTTGTGCCCGGGTTCTTAATGATTCCAGGAAGTTGGTCTCAGAGGGGTTGTTTTTATAGTCTCTGAATGCTTGTCTTTTCCTTTTAATAGCGTTGGTGCACTCATTATCCCACCAAGGTAACCCGTAGTTTAATGAGTGTTTATGCATTGGAACAGATTCTGCAATAGATAGGAAAATTATATTCATAAAATCCTCATAATTTATAGGAGGTGAAGTTCTAAATTTCGTGGAGATTAAATCAGAAAATTTCTCCCAGTCTGCCTTGTTGAAATTATATTTGCTAGTGTAGTTTCTTGTCGAACCTGAGTTGCAACGGTTATTTCCGATGATACACAAAATAGGAAAATGATCGCTATTCACTCTATCCTGGAGAACCCTGCAGTCAGTAAGTCCAGACAGTCTCTGGGAGCAAAAAGCTACATCTGGAGCGCTGTGTACGCCTGGGCGTGTGAGCCGAGTAGCTGATCCATCGTTTAGTACCCACAAATCGTGATCCTTAATGAAATCATAAAGAATGTTCCCACTTCTAATTCCCCGTGAGTAACTGACCTGGGAACCCCATATTGGATTATGGGCATTAAAGTCTCCCATAACGAGGACGGGTTTATTACGGGTTAGATCGAAAATTGAATCGAGGCTTGCCCTGACCAAACAAATATCTGGAGGGTTGTAAACACAACAAATAAAAAAATCGACAAGCTCTACAAGAATAACCTGACACCTCTCTGGTATATTAATTCTGCTTAAGTCGATGATATTATATTTTATTTTGTTTTTCAAGAAAATTGCTATACCATCTGCACCATTAGGTTTATCTGCTCTTACAGAAGAGAACCCTGATATTTTAAAGTTAGTGTTGGGTTTGAGCAAGGTTTCATTGAGCAATAAGATCTGTAGCTTAAAATCCCTTATAACTCTAATGATAGCATCTTTATTTTTTTCAGCCCCGCAAATGTTCCAGTGAACGATATTCATTATAGCTCAACTATAAAACGCTTGTGACTAAAACTTAAACTTAGTTTTGTTACGTAAAAACTACTGTTAGATTAAAACTAGTGATAAGATTACCTTTGCTTTTTCTAACCCCTGTAGGTCAACCGCTGCCATCGCAGCCGCCCCCCCTCCGTAGGTCAAATGAACCAAAATATTGTTTGATATTGTTGACACAATTTTCATCCATACCCTTTATTGACATAACGTCTTTTTTGAAAGCTTCAAACTTGTTGCATACTTCTTCCCAGCCATTTCCTACAGGAGTTACTTCCATTTCCGACTCTGATGTCGAGTTTTCAACTACTTGTATAGATGAGACTTTTCTTCTTGCACTTGAGGGTAACAAAGTTAGTTCATGGGCTACTTTATCATACCCTTTGGTAAATTGGGTGTCAGGCCGTTTTCTTTTAAGTACTGATGTATATGAGGAACAGCCCTGAGGACTTGTTGGATGAGGAGGTTTATTCTGAGTTTTTTTATTTAAACTAGGAAAATCTTCTGGTTTTCGGGTAAAGCCTTGGTTTGCATTAATTAGCCGTGGATGCAGTTTAGCTGCTTCATAAAAAGAAAGGTTGTAGAAGCTCATGGTTTCGTTAATTTGTTTTTGCCGTTTGTATTCGGGACATCCCCAGTCAGTAGCAGTGTGGTGTCCCTTGCAATTTACGCAGCTTGGTTTTGGATTTACTTCACAATTTGGAATTTTACACGTTTTAGTCAGATTGTTAAGATGATCTGCAGGGCATTTCATTTTTTTCATTGCTTGCTCTCTTTTTTGACAAACAAACATAAGATGATCTTCTGTACAAAAACCGCAACGAGGCTTGCCTCTACAATTATTTTTGACATGTCCAAATCTGCAACAATTGACGCACATTATAACCGGGTTAACATATTTTTCCACTTCTCTTTCATTATTAAAAATATTTACAGTTTGGGGTAATGATTTGCCTTCAAATGTTACAATATAATCGTTTGTGGGGATGGTTTTCATTACTGTTTCACCAGAAATAGCAAGTATTTTCTTCCTTCTTAAGACTCTTTTTACATTTAATATCTTAATCAACCTGGCCCGGGATCCTTCTCCTGTATAAGCTACCGCTTCTGAGTAAAAATCCTCTTCCGTAATTTGGTCCCCTACATCCTTGATTAGTCCTCTACAAGTGACAAGACGTTGTGGAATGTACCTATTATAGCCTCTAGCAGAACTGAAACTTTCATTTGACAAAAACTGATTAGCATACTCTGATGTTCTGAATTCAATTCCAATTTTATTAGCCCCTTTTCTATTGATTTTTGTTATACCTTGTACTCCAGCTCTGTGCAAAATTTTTCCAATATTCATCGGGTGAATGTTTCCAACTTGAGAAGTTATTCCCTCCATTATGATAAGAAATGGTCCCTGGTCTGTAAGTTCATACTTATACTTTCGGTTAAGTGTTCTCCTTATGTTGACTGAAATTCTTGCAATTTCGTTTAGGGCATCCTGATCTTCCACGAAGACAGATTTAAGCTTTTGTAACTCTGTCTCCAATAAATCTATTTCCTCCTTAGTGGGTACTAAGAAGTATTGATGCTGAGCGATAGCATGTGCTGTTTTCTTAGCTAAAGGCGAAAGCGTCAAGGCTGATGAATAACCACTGCTAGAGGAGGTAGAAGCTTGGGACAAGTTTAGTTGAGCTTGAAAGGAATCAAAATCATTTGCAAACACTATCGGATTATTAACTACGATACGATCGTTTCTATCAGGGGGGTCTTTACCCCCCGAAGCACATGCCATGATATGAAAAGCGCTAAATTATTGCGAACTGCGACACCAAACCAAAGCAAATATTAACGGCTGACTAAATATAAAACTCACCCAGACCGAAAAATTCAGTTGAAGACTAGAATTACGTCAAAAAAATGAAAATTTTCTCGGACCGAGGTAAAATTGTGCACACCACTTCACCTGGTTGACCGAAAAAAAAAAAGAACATCTGATTTTGACTTAATAAATTCTTCTTATTCATATTAATATAACATTAGGCAAATTTACTTGAGGCAGTCGCCCATTACCGACTTCCGTCGAAGATTTTTCGCATTTCTGTCACAATTAAACATACTTTCCATGACTTAATATTACAAACTATTAAACTCTGCTTTTAAATTTGACCAGATCATCCTTCCTCGAATTTGTTCCATATATCTACAAACTTTTATTATATGCGTTGTAAAAACATCATCATTAATACTCAAAAATTATCGCTTATGAAGAAACGTGTTGAAATATAGAAATGGCATCGCATCGGTTTATAACAATTTCGGACCGAATGATTCTAGTACCCTTGGTCAAGACAAGTATTAGCAAAACACCATGTTTTCGCCATAGACTATTGTGAGTGTTATACGTTTTCGCAAAACAAAGCGCAAGTTTCAGAGCAAAAGAAAAAACCAAGAGGGGGTAAATTATAATTTTTTATTTTTGACGTACAGATAAGAAAATAAATATCAAGTACAAACGAGATAAATAATACTGCAGGATGTATTACTATAATACCTACTCTAATACGATAGAACATATAAAATACTGATAGAAAAAATATACAGTCCACTCATTAAGCACTTTCTTAATGCTAGGTAACAATCGGTAAGTCGTTGCCACAGTTACCCCAATCAGGGTTACAGAAGTTTTTAAAAATCAGATCTTATTTTGAAAACTGACCCAAAATCGAAAACGCGCGATAATAAGTTAAGTATAAAAATAAAAAAGATAAATATTTACACATTTGACGCCAAAAGCAACTATAAACACGGTATTCTACGAGTCTAAACGAAACGGAATCTTTACACAATGTACACAAACACACAGATCAAAATCAAATGAGGATTTTGGCTGGCCGTCAGTGCGTTGACTTTCACTTGCAAGTGTGCAGATCTAGAGAGTGAACGCACGTTTTACATTGAACCTCGCAGCACCACTTAAACACGCAATTGCAGCGTTCTTTAACCACGCTTTTTAGCGTATTATAACCACGACCGCAACATAACAAATTGCAACCGTCGATGTCCTGTGAGTTTCTGTTGCACGGCCTTCCTTGCGTTCCCAGTAATCCGATCATGTCATCTTTGACGCAATAGTTCGGCGAGTCTTCCAGGTATACAAGATCGTAGGTCGTAGGGATGCTCACTTGAGGATCTCGCAATTGAAGTCGACCTCGTTTATTGACCCGTACTTCTGTTGCTCCGTCGTACTTTTCGCGAAGATAATCTCCTGGAAAATGGCGAAAACGACGTTTTATCTTTGACCCTCGTGGTGTTGGGTAAATAATCGATTGTTGTCAAATTGTTTTTTTAAGCGACGCACTATGATGTGAATGACCACATTTATTTGTTTAAAACTAATAATACCAACGTAAAGTATTAAAAAATATGTTGTCTTCAAAAGAAATAGTTTATTTTATGTTTTATAATAGTGTACTATAAAAATTGGAACAGTAAATTTTAACTACATTTTTAACAATTTAGTTAAATTAACTACTTACTGCTAGATTGATGATCTCCTAATTTTTATTTAATTGTTCATAAAAATTGTTTGAAATTTTATTATAAGTTGAAGCGAAATACCCGTGATTTTTTAAAAAAATATCTGGGTTTTCAAAAGTTCTTCTTGTTGTGTTGCTGTCATTGCTTGAACCATAACTTTGTTTAGCTTTTCCGAAAAGTTTGCTAGTTTCTCCTCTAAGTTGCAATACTTAATAATTTCTAAAATTCTAAAAATCTTTTCCAATAGTTTAATGGACTACATAAATATTGTACCGAATCTGGGAGTAACGCCTTCCATGAATGTTGAAGGCGTTACTCCACATATGGAACAAGCTTGGACTGATTTGGTATTGGTAAGCACTGTTGGACACAATTTGCAAGTAATTTATAGTTTGGTTATTAACACTGCATTCCAGTTTTTTTAATTTTTAATCCGTTCGTCCAAATCTCTACAAATAAATTTATAAGAACATTTATTTGAAATATATAAAAATATAAATATCGCAGTTCCTCTGCTTGTTGTGTTCGAACACAACCACCAAACCGGACATAAGATTTTATTCGATAAAACTAAAATTCTTGTATGTAATCAATTCTTCTGCCAACGAAAAATCCGGAAGTCTATAGAAATCTATAAATAACCTAACAATCTTAACCGCGACTCAGGTTTCTACCTGTCACCAATCAGTCATCTGAGAGGGTGTTTATGCCCCTCATTTAGCTCCGCCCTCCTCAAACAATATAAAAACAGGTACACAGTAAAATGCGAACCAGTTTCAGCGAAGCTCTGAAGAAGCCTACAGGATGATTGGCGAAACGTTAGTTAGTTCGACCCAACAAAAACTGACGCAGGAGGAATCCAGAAGTTTTATAAAAAGTAATATATGCCACACTTTGTATTTTTTTTCAAAACAATTTTTATCTCTGTTCACTATATTCGAAGATAAAAATTTTACTTGTTCTTCCATAAGTTTACTATTCTTTTCTCGGTTCTTAATGTTTTCTAATACAAATTTGGTTGAACTTTTGTGTCGGTTTCTTTGTGCCAAACCTTCAAAAATTGCTGTAACCTAGAAGCTTTGAGTTTGTATATTCCTTTCGATTTAACGTAGACGGTAAAGGCTGTTCATATATGTAAGAAAGTGATTAACTGATACGAATTAAGGAAAGACCCGGGCAAGCTGTAAGAATGAAATATGGCCGAACAGGTCTGTACTTTGCTTAGAATTTAATTATTTGGGGTTTTGTCAGGAAAGATACTAAAAAATATTTATTTATTTATGTGTATATTTATGTTTAAATCTAAAATAAAATTACAAATTATTTTTTTACCTACTTAAATAACATAAAATTATTCACATAACATATCAGTCTCACTATCGCTATCATCGCCTGTTCTAATTATTATTTGTTCTATATTGATTGCAATATGGATATACGATTGTTCTGCTTTTTCTATATGTTTAACAGAATTTGCCCAACTTTGTGGAAGGATGTTAAAAACTTCGGTTTGTATAAGTTTGAGGACATTGGAGTTAACACGGGGAAAAACATTGTTACGACGAATGGCAGATTTCAGTTGGTGCCAAACATGTTCAATGGGATTAAATATACAGTGGTAAGGTGGAAGCCTTAAAACTGTATGCCCTAGATTTTTTGCATAATTATCACAGACGTACTCCTTTTGTAGGTTCAAGCTTTGTAGAACTTCAATTAATTGCTTTTTGGTATAATTTTCGTGAAAATAAATGTTGTTATTATACATGTAGTTTTGGTTTGTTGCTTTTGTGTCACATGGGGAAGGGGTTTTAGTCAACTGTCTACTGTGATAACTTGCATTGCCCGTTAAAATGAAGCTATTAGGAGGAATGTTTGGAACTAGTTTGTTTTTACACCAACTTTCAAATAAATCAGCGGTGGTGTCTTCATGGTAATCCAGAGAAGAATCTTTAATGTTTTTCGCAGACAGAGAAAGTCCATTTGGAATGCAAAATACTTATTCTTTCACCTCTTTTTGATGGCACGTTTGTTTTACACTTATCAGTTGAGTCAACCCAACCCTTTTCCGGGGTATCATAAGTGTCCAACCTGGTTTCATCCAAGTAAATAATTGGCCTTTGTTGTTCTCTGTAAATCCTAATTTTTTCTAGATATTCCAGTCGCCATTTCCGAATTCTAAAAGTTTCCATTAAAACTTGCCTGTTGTCAATTTTTTTAAATCTAAAACCCATGTGTTGAATACAGTTCCATAAGGTAGTTCTGCCACATTTAACACCGGTTTCGTCTTTTTCAAGCCTCCTAATTAAGATATCTAATGTAGGCACGAACTAGTAAATTTTACGCCGTATTATATCTTGATCACTTTCAGTTACTTAAACTAAGTAGTATACCAAACCAAAGAATATTAAAACACTGGTAGGTATAAAATTATTTTCAATTACGGATCACAATTTTACCTGAATTTAAATTCGAAACTTTAGGTAATAATCTTGTTGCATTGTATGTTAGTGACCACTCTTGGATAATCCCATTCAAAAGCAATTGGTCACTTTCTTATATCTATGAACAGACTATACCACTATAAACTAGGTACTTCAAATGATATAATGAAAGCGAAAACCTTGTCACACCTGTTTAAATAATTTTCGCAATTTTAAGAACAATTAATATAATTTTCTTTCTTCTTCTTTCGTTAAAAAAAAATTCTTTAAACTAGAAAAAAATGTCTAATAAGTACACAAATAAAAGCGCTGGTGACAGACGTCAACTTTCAACGTTTAAAAAAGTAAGGATTACTTGATTTTTAGTCGATTCATTATCTCGGTACAATGAAGGGATTCTTACCTGATATCATACATATCTTAAAATGTCTTAATTAGTACATTGAAAATTGATGCATTCGGCGGAAGTTGATTATTCAGATCACAGTGGGATAGAAAAAAAATAATGACGGAAAAACAAACTATATAAACACATAACATTTCAAAGCTCCCTTTCAGGAGCTTGCGACATTCAACAAGCAACATGGCTATTGACAGTTCGTCAACTTTACAGTTTTTTGCAGTATTTTGTTAAAATATGACCAGACCGCATTAATTTTTTGGAGAAATGCGAGTCAAGTACATGGAGACCGCTGCTTGAAAAGAAAATGTCCCAAGTCTGCGTCTAGTGTCAGCGATGTTTACGAAAATATTAAGCTGTCTGAGGTGTATCAAATTTTACTTTAGTACGCCTCTTTTATTATCAAATAGCTCTATGGGTAAAACTAAATATCCACTTTTAAACGAAAACCCGTAATTACAACATTTGTCTGGTCAAAAACCGCAACCAACTCCACTTTTAATTACCCGTAAATATGGGCATTAAATCGTAAACCTGTTCAAATATTGGGTAATAGTCGTTTTCGTCCACACGACATTCAAGTTCTTTTATGTTTCCCGCTCGACAAATACTTACCTGAGGTTCGTTTATGTTGACTTGAGGTGCACCGTTTACATATTTACAAAGAAAACCTTTAAAGAATCCTCAATAGATACCCAGGGCGGAAGTTAAAATCTCTAAATCGGCTGTACCGCGTTTTTCGATAGCGAGCCCGGTTAAAAACTAACTTGATCAAATGTGATTTGATAAAGACACGGTGTTGTAGAAACAATTGTCACGTCAAAATATACAATTTCTTGAAAATATGAACTTTTACTTCTTATTTATTTTGATAAATGGATTTTCATCAAGTAAAAGCCACCTCAGTTCGATTTTTAAAAAATAAAATATTATTTAATTTTAACTTCACAGTTCTCACTTGTGAAATTATTCCACCATTACGTCCTCTATAACATTTGAATCTCGTTTGACGGACGTCCAAAGTTGTAAACTAATAAATTGTTGTATAGAGCTGAGATGCATAAAGCAGTCTGCGTAATTACGGGTTGTGGTTACGGGTATTAATCAACTTTCCCGCGATTCCTATACGAGGGGGACTAAATCATATGCAACGATTTAATTAATTACGAATTATGAACCAAATTATCAGTTGTTTTCGTAATAAGTGTCGTAAATTTTCTGTGGCGAGTGCGTGTCTTTACGGGAAACGTATAATCGTGGACCACCGCTACGATAATTGTAGAGATAATTCAATATACAGTGTTTCCAAGATAAGGATGTTTATCATTGGTTAAATTGGTTAAATTAGAAAGAAGTTGCAAAATTTAAAGGTTAATAACGTGCTCTTGAGTAAATAAAAAAATTCCATCACTTTGGAGTTATTTAAAGAGATATAAAAAATTAAAATGAACTGAGGTGGCTTTTACTTGATGAAAACCCATTTATCAAAATAAATAAGAACTAAAAGTTCAGATTTTCACGAAATTATATACTATGACATGACAATTGTTTCGACAACATTTGATAAAGACACGGTGTTGTCGAAACAATTGTCATGTCATAATATATAATTTCGTGAAAATCTGAACTTTTAGTTCTCATTTATTTTGATTTTTTTAAAAATTAAATGTAAATCATCATCAACCTTACGTGAAAAAACTGCACCATGTATTAAATAGCATTTTTTGTTAGCAATACAACATGATTTTACAACGTTTAAATCACAAAAAAAGGTTTTTATTAAGTTTTCAATGTTTTAGCGTAGTAGGCGCTGACATAATAAATAAAAAAAAAGTGAATTGATAGCTAAATAGATAGAATACCTGACATGTTAATTTATTAAACACA